CCACCACAATGTGAACCTCTGTTTAAGAGGACGAACTTTGAAGCTTTAATAGGCTAGTACGTATTCGAAAAAAATACATCGAAAGAAGCGGTCGTTGTTCCTTATGGCCCATCCTACATATCCCGGATCCAGATCTCCCGCTCGCTGGTCATTCCGAACCGTTTGCGGCATTTGCACATGCGCGGCCACCTCATTATCGTGCATTCATATGGTTCCAGTAAACGTACCTATCATCCAACTTCGCTTTAGGGTAACCCGTTGCTTACAGTCACAATCCCTTATCTCAATTTAGGAGGAAACACTCAGAAGCTAGATAAAGAGGCGGTTCGGCTTATCCATGCATAGGCACTTTTCTTATGTGGAACAAAACGAAGGATTGAAGTGAGTAGGCACTGAAAATGCTCCGCGTTGGAAATCTAGATGATACCGGCCGCCTCTTCTTTATGTTTCCTTTCAAAATTATGGTTAAATTTCCATTGCTGATGCCTTGATCCAGACAGACAGGTATCCACTCACGGAGGAGTGGTGATGAAGCAGGATAGGACTAGCCACCCCCACGCATATTTCTTTTCCACTCAGCAGGGCAATGAAGCTTGTACTCCCGAGTTTATATGTCTCACTCTCCATTCAATTATTTTTTTAGATACCCTGCCGAATCGACAAACTCGGTAGGGGCGACGCCGTGCGCATCGTGATGCGCGGTTGGGTGTGGGCGGACACCCTTTTCCGTCACAAGTTCTCTGACGTGGCAGTTGTCACCACGGCCACACCCATCCTGCCCTCAAGAGCCTTCGGATTGCCTGTGTCGGGCAACTTCTCTATCGCACCGCTCTCCATCTCCCAGAATCTTGTGTTTGAGGGCATCAAACGTCTCATTACACAACCTTTCCCCCTAATACCCGTGATCATCGGCGTGGTTTTAGGCTTGATTCTGCTCATCTTTATCGTCATCCTCATGTGGTGGTGTGGTTTCTTTAAGCGCGCTAAGAAACCTGGTAGTGAACTGGAAGACGAGACCATCCAGAAACCTGCACAGTTGTGACCTGCTGCCGCTGCAATGTCCATATGCGCCTTATCTCTCGTCGGTTCACTCTGCTCGGCGGGTAAAGGTGGGTTCCGCCCGCCGACCAGTAGTATGTCTCGCTAACCGCCGCTACCACAAGATGATCGCTGTGGGAGGGTCTGTTGTGGTGCCATTGTATATTTTCCCCTCGGCCAGCCACACCCCAGTTTCCTCCCATTCCCCCACGCAACGGGCTCCGCCCTCAAACGTGTGCCAAGCAGGCATGTATACCGCCCTCATCTCACTGACCTATCCGTCCTCTGACTGCATTTCGCCCCCCCCTTGCCACCCCTTGCCCCCTTGCTCGAATTTGACGGTTCCGTTCATACGGCTTCCTCGCTTCAGTCGGGTGGTGCCCGCTTCCCCCTCTCCCCGTTGTATCCCTGTGCCGGGTCCTACCGGTGGTTCCTACTTTGACCTTACTTGGGCTGCTGCAAGGCTTGTTCTCTAAGAGCTCCTCAAGCATTTTATTTTTTGGCCAACTGCTGCAGCGTGTCTTTTGCTCAATTCTGTTTGGACGAAGGATCGGGTTGGGAAGCATTGTGGCGACCCTAGAGATTGTGGATGGTACTGCAACTTCGTAACTACGCTGGTGATGTCAATTGGAAAGATCAACTCAGTTAAAAGGTCCTTTGTTAGTCAGTCATAGGCCAGTCCCACTCTCCCAATGACGACGTCAATAAATCCAGAGGCCGAACTGAACAAGAAACTTTGATTAGTTCATCAGAGACAAAATAAGGAGGAACAATTGCTAAGAACGAGAGACTTTGCTATCAGATGTACAGTAAGATAGTGGCAGGCACTTACCCAAATAGGGCATGAATCCAGACCGTCCGTGGGTCAGTTCTGCAGTCGGATTGATTACACTTGGCTGGGCTCCCCCTGCGGGTGTGGGAAGGGAGAGCGCCAAGTGCAAGCTGCTGTGGCAGCCGCCTCACTCTTCTTCCTCCATGGAGCGAACAACGCTGATCTAACAGCAGGACATCTCGGAAAGAGCATAAGAGGGCATCTGTAGTTGAGAGATCATAACTGCTAAATGCGCTGCCTTTGCACATCTGGTCGACATCGTTTACCACTTTCAGCTTTGTTGGTTGGTTGTTGTGGGCGGACAAACGACACAAATGCCTCGCATCAGTAGACGTCTTCCAGCATCGAGAATTGCGAAGATAAGGGCATAAAGTCAGCGTCTGCGAATACCGTTTCCCCAACCTGTCGCTTCTGAGAAAGGTGTGGCACGCGGGTTATGACAAAAAAACCTGATCTCTTCACATACTGGAGGTGATAAATGAGTATAAATGACCAGAAAAGTAACTCGCCCTCCCGCGTAAAATACATCGTTTGTATAGGCACGAGATTTATTTGGCTAAAAAGGTTTGACAGAACAATTTTTGAATGCATCCAGTTTTTCAAGAGTACTCAACGCACGAAGTTCTAAACGTTTCCTTGGCGACAGCACATTTCTTTTTATAGGCCATTCAGAACTTCAGTCTACCTAGCAAGAGCAAACACTTAACAATCTTATAACGATAGGGTAAGGTTATTCCATGCTATCAGCACAGGTACCGGCCAAGAGTCCATACACGCGTATTTCGCCGATATTCTGTTAGTATGGAATCACCTTACCCTACAGTATACTACTAGCTGTCTGTCAACAGTTAGTGAATAGTATGCGGTTATCCTCTGTGGCTGATGGATCTCGGCTCAAATATTCATACATAAAAACTTAGGCCTGAGCCTACAGACCTTAAATATGCTGATCTACTCAAAGATCGCAGTTAATTTCTAAGGAAATTAAAAAGCTACAATCTTATAACGCACCTGCCTCCGGTTTATTAGTTAAGTATTACCCACTCCTAAACGGGAAAAGGAAAACACTGCGGGAAACTCGGTCCACTTGGAATAAAGTAGTCAGGAACGCATAAATATTATTTGCCAATAGCGTGGGAAACTTCTCCAGCATAGACAATGAGTTTATTTCTTCACTCTTTCATGCGTTCAATCAATTCGTATTGACGTCTGTCGACAGTACGTCAGATGTGTAGACAAATATTTTTACTAAAATAATTTTCGGTCAATTGTCCGGCATAGCGCTCTAAGAGGAAGGGCCACAACGTGGATATTGTGTTGGATAAAACATCACACAAACGTTCCCCTACAAACAGTGTGCGACACGTAGATTTTTCCGAAACAATTGCAAATAAGTGAAGACTTCGGCCTTTCGTTACCGGCTTTAGGCGGCTAGCAGGGTAGTTGTACGTTTTTGACACAGCTGAAGAATCAGTAGGCCTGAAAACCGTGCGGTTGTAGTTTACTTACTAATGATCTCGGTTGCACAGAAGAATAAATACATAAATACAGTTGTCCTTGCACTAAGGGCCGTGTGCACGCAATCCAGTGTCCTAACTTTAACCCTACCCCCAACTCTAAGTCCCTATGGGATTTACCGGAAGGCCAACTGTGGTACAGGGGAAGGGTACTTATTCCAGCACTCTACCAAACAGCTGACGCAATAACTTCGCAAAATTTTTGGGGTTTCTTTCGAGTTTAGTGTCCAGGACATGTCTTTTTAAGGTCAACTTTGAAACTCTAGTGAACAGCTAAAAATAATTTGCTGCTAGATAATCGTGCTCTATAAACTCTACAAGCAAGTTTTACCAGTAGTTAAGTTTGGTGTAACAGTGACTCATTCATACTTTCACAGTATAAACCATGAAAAATAGCATACTTACTCAAAAGTCTGTTTAAAATCTAATATTTATCAATTGGAATATGGCGTCCTATAAGAAAATGGGCTGGATGCAAGTAAATGCGAAATATCCCAGTCTAGTCGAAAACACGAGCTTTCTGGCTGGATGAGTTGCATGTTTCCGTAGTCCATGGTGACAGACATGTTTTCTGCCCCTGTCGGCAAACTTGTTTCAGGTAGCGAACATGTGGTCGCTTTATCATTTGTTCGGTACCTTGCTAACTACTCAATTGCATTGGCAAAAAAGGGCGATGAAATGTTGAGCAAGCATTTGCATTGGAATATGACACCAAAATAACCCATAAAGCATAAGCAAGGTACTGGGGAAGTGGACCGTAATAAATAAAAGCCTGGATATCCGTAAATTGGCTTAGAAATATTTTGAAATCGGTCATTTTACATGTCAGAACTGCCGAACACTCTTGATGACCGGCAATGCTAGCTTCTCACGTTGGCTCAAACGGAGAAGATCGGCCAGGAGGAGCATCTCATTTGATCCTTTAAACCTCGCTGCTTTTTAAAATGAACTTCACTATACTGCTTAAACGGCTTTCCTCAACACATGGGAATGCAGGCTAAAATGTGGTAATTTTTTCGAATCACGAAATCAAAGGAAAGCGTTTATCTCACAAGGGAAAGTTTGGGAGGTTTGAGGCCAAAGTACCCAGACGATGAGACGTATTCCGAACTGCCGTTAAGGGCTTCGCATTCCCCTCGAAAGTTGATATAACTTTGACATGCATATTCACCTAGCGCGGCGAGCCATTGCTTAGGATGGGCACCCATTGGAGTTCACTTTCTGTGGTCTTCGCTTTGGAGGAAAATAGTACGCACGAAGGCGTAACACATGACACCCATGAGCTTGGGAGGAAGTATTCATCGATCCCGTGAGATTTGCGAGATTATACCTACTTCTATTTCTAAACAGAACCCTCAACGATACTCAATCCCACCTCAACATTCAACAAGATATTCTAAAAATCACGGTAGTTGTCCCCTCACCATTCACCACTAATTATAAACCGCTCTTGACAACGACAATTGGGGTGATTAGCAAATTTCTGAAGAAAAGAGAGTAACCTGGTGCGGTTAATATTTGTGATTAATTTATATCAATGAGATGGTACATAAGTATCCGAATATTTTGTAGTTAGTGTTTCGGTCAACGGGGAGTTAAAGTTCGGCGAAGTACTAATACTTTCGTCTATCTCTTGGCGATGGAACACAAGGACTCTCTGCGGAGTGTGCTGATTGTTTCGCCTCTGGTGAGTTGTCTAGCCGTGTTGACCCAAGGTGATTGTTGCTCCGGGATTGTCGCAGTTCAGTAGAATGTATCCTCTTTGCTCGAATGACCGTTTCGGTGTCACTTGCAGTTGGCAGTTCTAAAAGGAGAATTATTCGTAACTACGCTTGGTCATGTTCGAGTACTTAACGTGCCTTTAAATTGCAGATTCCGGATAGGATCAAAATTGTAGTATTTAGGGAAAATATTTCAGAGTACTTTGTTTTTGTTTCTCTCCTCCAAGGCGGAAACTTAACTTTGAATCGAAGTAATGGCGTCAGATTAGAATAATTGTAATTATTCCAACTATCCATCTGAAAACAAAACCACTGGAAGATTCTTTGGCGCGTGTTTCAACTACAAATCATATTGGGCGATCAGGCCTCCTCTCTCCCGCAGGAGACGGAAAAGCTCAGAAAGTATTGTTATTTCAACGAAAATTCGAGATGTAAATAAATTATCGCCTCCTTCATCCGCAAAAATATAAAGAAGAGTCGGATTTGCATACGCAGCGCTGTATTTGCACACACTTTCCGGAAATTACCCCGCCTCCATTATCAGGTTTATGAAGTAACAGCTCCGGTGGACCGGAATCGATGGTATCTGTCGGCTTCGTATGCATTTGGCGTTAGATCGTCAGGCTCGGAGCATCGCTCCCTATTTCGCTTTCAGCCCGACCGAGTATATGTACACTATTAGAAGTGAACTGGTGATAATTTTCGAGAATATGCAAGACAATATGTGATCCCAGATTTTTTCGCTTAAGTGCTAGATCCTGCTTGTCTACACGTGTTTTTGGTGTTTCGACGGTCATGCCGCAGTAGACGACCAGACAGTCTAGACACCTGACACAGTATATGACTTCTGACGTGTCCTCAGACGGTAGACGACCGCTGGGCTGCAGGAGCAAGCGGTGAATAATAACGTTCGGCCCGTGTACAGGGCTCATGCGGAACGCGCGAAGGTAAAGGACTGAAATCTTCTATGCTTTGCCCTACACGAGGAACTATTCGGGGGATACAGAACGCATGTTAAGGTCACTAAGCGTAGGTCTTGGACATTGGCGAATAGATCGTTGTATGACCACTCCCTCTTGAATAGATACACATAAATATATACAGATAAGGAGTTAATAACAGATCCAAGAGAGAGGGGTGGCTATTTCTGGTTTGTTAGTTGTCATCAGCCAGCCGAAAACGACTACCGTTTTGCAGGGTCTGAGGATCGAACCCGCCCCTAACATTGGGTCGCCGGTCCGTTGTCCTGTCGGTTTATACTGAGTATGTTGAGTGTAGACTGTTATTACACTAAATAGTGCTCACTGACCAAAGAACCAGGTTTGAACCCCGGACCCCGAAAACCTGGGGTTGGGAATGACTGACTGAGGACAGCTAACAAACTAGAAGTGTCCACTCCAGTCCTTTTTTGTATTTGTCGGTAAGACCCTACCTGAATATATCACTAATCGTCCTGCTTATGTCTTAAAGAGTTCTGGATTGAACCCCGGGGCCCTTAACCTGATCGATGACCTCTCTTCCACCATACATATAGACATAATCGAAGAGGTGTGCTCTTCTGACCCTTTATATGACAGGATACGTCAACTTTATAGACAGGTCGTTTGGTGTGGGCGCTGTTTACAGAGACGTAGGGTAGTCGTTTACTTACTTTAGTCAAAAGCACCAACATACGAGATGGCTACTTCGCAGATGGCAATGGAGTTCCGTAACACGACATTTTTTAACCCAAAAATTAATATTCATCCTCAATTAACCTTACATGTGCGAACATTACTTAAATGTGCCACCAGTTTCCAATCATTTTAGTAGACCTCGTCTACCAACGCCTTTCATTTCCATTTGTGAAATCTTCCCAGCAATACTGTCGTTAACGATTGTGTCGTACAATGTTTATTCAGTTTTCGACATCCTTGCTGTCTTGCTGCCATTCTGCTTTATTAGATGATATCTCACGTCTAATCTGCCTATGTTTTGTTCAACTACCGCGCAAAATAGCAAAACTTTGAATTGTTTTTAATTCTTATTTACGCCCTCAATGAACTTTCAAAATTATTTTTTTCTGCTACTCGTAATTCACATTACTACACCTCTAAATCTATGGTGCTGGGCACAACTACTGACTTACCTCTTAGGCACTTAAGACTGTTCCGGTATCGGGAGTGGGTCCTGATAGGGCCCATGCGTTACTTTTTGACGAAATACGTGCCTAAATGGTGCATCTGAAAGGAGTCTAGGCCAAAAAAATTTAATATACAGACACAATCACGGAATAGTTATCTGTCTCCTAGTCAGAAGGTTGTAAGTTTCAAAATACGGAGGTGCCCACTTTCAGACTCGCGTCGCTGTTTTTAATGGAAGAAAGTGGTAGATCCCAGCTAACGAACGCTTCCTTCCTAGGAAAAACTTCTACGTAATTGAGAACAAACTGTGCCAAATCGTTGCGAAGAAACGACGACAACTGCCACTCAGAAACAAGTAAATACCCCCTTGGATTTTGTCGTATTGCATCGTCATGTATTGTCCAATAAGTATGACAGCTTCATATTGTCATGTTACGTTCCTCAGTATATTTCCCAAGTCAGCATTTGGCTGAATTTAAGTCGTTTGAGGCACAACTGTCAAGCCGGAAACAACTTTTTGTCTATTTGTCCCTGAATCGGGGAAGGTCAACCACAGGTCATCTACACATATTCACAACAAAGACGGGAAAGGCTGAAACTATTAGTATGACTTTATTTTCCTTCGTCCACCAACTATACCGCAATCTCAAATTGGAAATGTTTTTTGTTGATTGACTTCTGATCACTGTATGACCGTGCATACGGACAGCTGTAGCTGACTAACAACGGGCAGCAAGCTTGAGACTGATATTTCAGGCTCCTTTTCTTTCTTTGACTGGAAGTGATTGTGTGGTCGTCTGCGAGGTAATTAGGCCACACCTTTGAGGCAGAACGCAAAAACTGCATCGGGTCCGACAATGAGGCAAGACCAGTGAACGTTATCCGCGCATGAATCTCTCTCTCTGACTATCAGGGATCTGTAGGCGGGTTCGATGTCATGTGATGAATCTGATTTAACAGCCCGTTATAACTTTCCTGAGTTCTCCTTCAGATCAACCATTCATAGGTCCTTGCTCCCTGCTGATCTCTCTGGTCTTACGTTTTCTTCTCATCATTCGACAGTTCGACCATCGATTCCGACGATGCCCACCGTGTGCTACACGGCTAGGTGCAGCAGGCACAGTGACTTGCGCGTGAGTTAGTTTGTATTAATAGTAGACTTCTGCAGCATCTACCACACTCTCTCTCCTCCCCACCCCTCACCTGGACCCGGTGTCAAGACAAAGTCAAGAAGACCGGAGGCGGGGGAGGGCGCAGGTGGCTGGCAGGGCCGGACCCGCACCTAGACGTGCCACCACACCCCCTAGTCCACAACACACACTTGATTAGAATTTTTCGCCACCAAGACCCCAACAGAGGTCAGAAGAAGGAGGATGACTGGGCAGCCATGCCCACCACCTGTATACCCAGCTGGAGCGCAGGCGCATCTACCGGCGGTGAACCAGTCGTCAGGGAATTGCCAGCACATACCACGCTGAAAGGCTATAGTTTGCTGATACTGGCATAGGACACGCTTTCAGACCTTTTGACCTTGTTTGCATCATTAACCACAATCATCACCATGATCATGATCTCTGTTACTGCTTCTGTTTTCTCCTTTCCTCTTTTTTCGTTTTTATTAGCCGCTCATATGAAAATCGTTTTTACTGTATCGACATAATTCCTTCTCAGTCTTCAAGCGCAGCAGCCAGCCATAAAATTCGATGCAAAGAAGATGCTGCAGGTGCTTTACCCCCCCTCCCCACCTGCCCATCGGGGGTGCGGCTGGCCAAATAATCCTACCCGAAATTCAGCGGAATTCAGGTCAGCCGACTAGAGGCGCCTAACCTTTGATTGGATGACCGTCTGGCATTAGTGGGTTATAACCCGTCGAGCCCTCTCTCCAAACTCCCCCTGGCGTTTTTTGCCCTTTCGGAAGACGGTCACGGCTACCGCGCTTACAAGAGTGTCTGGTTCCTAGGCTTGAGAAAATAGGAAAGCAAAAGATCTGAGTGTGTACACATTGGCTAGCGTCAGTTGTAAAACTATTTCACGTTCCATGTACATTTGTTGCAAATTGGGTTCTATTCGGTAAACACACACACACACACCGTAACTGCAGCGGAAGAGGTGGAAAGTAAGGCGAAAACGCAAGCGAGTATGTGCGTTCCGGTGACTGAGCGGAGCCTGCCAATGGGTCCGGGGCTGTTGGTGATTGGTGGAGAGGAAGGGAAGGGGGCGGTCAGTTTGCGAAAAATGTGGTTCTGACTAGTCGCTGGACGGTCTGTGCGCTGTCGGTGTTATTCATGGCCTTGGCAGCAAGGCACGATGGGCAATGGGAGCACCTAGTACTGCATTTTAACAGCTGGAGAACTGGAAACCTTTGCTTAGGCGCCATTCCGCCCACCGGCCACAGTAATCTCCAATGTTCCGGCACAAATGCGATGCCCACCTAACACGGTAAAAGAACTTCTGAACGTCTCGTCGGTTCATTTGCCTCGAAGAAGAGAAATTTAAATGATATGTGAGCGTAATTTTCACTGGAGCCAAGAGGACGCAGAGGGTGGTCTATCGGTGTCCGCATGCACTTTCAAGTTCTAATAATACCCACAGCAAGATGTGACCTCCCTGGGTGTTGTTTTCCAACTGGAGGTAGGAATTGCTGTGAGTGAAATTGTGGCAGCCCGCTCTCCTCCGGTCTGTCTAATTTGCTTAATAAATAAATCACTTTAAATCATTTCCCGTCTGAATTCTTTTCCAGCAGTCCGGATCTCAAACAGTAAGTTTCACACAGCTGACGCTTGAAGTTCCTCACGTCCTAAACCAATGGTACGGTCTGAGAAATTTCGTGTCCAGAGAGGGAATGGAGAACATAATTCTAACTTGAGAGGAAAAGAATGTGATATTTTGAGAGGGGAGGGCGGTTTTCAAAGAAAGCGAGCTCCAGTTAACAAAGCGCCCAAAATGAATACCAACCGTTGACGCAGACACCATTTAAATTTTTTGTCTTCTGCCTTCTCTCTCCCTGTCTTCTTCTGCGGTTGTTATTTTGCCAGGTGAGGACTTACTGAACTTCAATGTGCGGCCAGTAGCAGTACGTCAGTATTCGCCATTTGTAAAACGCAAACTTCTTAATCAGAATAATCGAAGCGCAGCGGCTCCGGAGAATGACATCGACAAATAACTTTGATGGATAGCCACTACGAAACCCCCATTGACGCAACAGACGCGCATTCGAGGACCCAGGTTTAGTTTCAAAGCAACGTTTGCGACTGCTTATCAACCGCTCTCTAATACGTTCTCGAGCCGCTTTTTTTGATGCATGCTTCCAATCCCGATGGCCGGAGAGACACCTAGTTGTCAGGTACTCCGATGACATCTGTTTCAAAATAAACTGGACCGTACGCCCGTCTGTACACCCCGAAGTAGCTCAAAACCGGAATTTCTGGTGACGCCTGGTTTCTGCACTGGTTAGGAGAGGGGTTCTGACCGTACTACGACAAAGACTACATACATGATTTCAAAATGACAGGTTCTGAGAAGAGGTGTAATGTGAGTCTGCTTATGGGTCTTGCCATAGCCAAAGGCTTCCAGCTCTCTGGCTCCAGCCTTTTCGTCGCAACGATGCAGACTAGAACTGTCTCTATGTCCTCATAAGTAAAAGGCAACACACAATAAAGGAAGTACTCCTCTCAAGCTAACCCCTAGGGGATTCTGGGCCTTGGCATGTATTAGTGCAAGGATCAGACAACAAAAAAGTGATCCGTCTTCCAAGAGGGTTTAAACCACTACCAGTTTTTACAGTTGGAACTACAGAAAACTACATCACACAATCACGCGCCCTACACTATTGAGCCACAACGACGTCTGAAGAAAACCTCCCTAAACATAGAACGGGTCCCAAGGACAAGAAGAGATTCTCCCAGATTTCGAAGATTGGTCAGTTTTTAATCCGACTGTCTCGAAGACCACAGACAACCAGTGATAACGTTCAGGTAGGAAACGACGCACGACTGAACGGGGCATTTTGCTCTGAAGAGGATCTAGCTGGATTAGGTGTTAGCTGACTTCGGATGCATCCTTGTCCTGCGACGTTTGATCCTCAGAAGTGGCTTACTAATTAACTAAAATTCCTTCGGAGTTCTGCTGCTGACAGACTACAGGAGTACACGGTCACCTGAGCTCTGGTTGACGCATGAAACGATGCCGATGTAATCAGTTATGATAGCGACATTTTCAGAACAAATGGAAGCGAGGTCATCCAATTCAATCCTCCACAACAATACTCCTACCAACTCTGCAAATAAAAGGACTGACAACCAGGCTTTCAAAACTGCTGTTTTTATGCGACAAATATTTATTCTAATCGACATAGTATTGAGTCAGTTCATCGTGGGTTTTCAGCTAATGCTAGTCAGTTGTGGCATAGTGAAATATTTCAAAATGGTGTGACTAATCCGTTGCCTTTGGACTGGCTGATAAGGAGAGAGCAGAGAACCATCCTACTGACATGTTTTCGGACACGCTATCTCACATATACACATGTACGTACCCTGTGGATTATCTCCCAAACTGCCTATAGCCAGATTACTGGTCATACCTTCTTGCATACTACCAGTGAAATACATGCTCACACGGGCCTGACGAAAGTTTATCAATAAGCGTTCTATTCAAAACGTGTTAACTCACTCAGTAAGTCTGATAAACCTGCTCTGTCAGGTGCGACACAATGAAATCTGACCAAACGTCATTACAAGCATTGAATGTTTGGTTATTGTAGCCTTTTAATTTCCTCAGAAATTATCTACGAACTTGGAATTGGTTAGTTTTTTCAAAGTCTATGGGCTCAGACCGAGAATTTTATGTATGAATATTTGGAACGACGTCCATCAGCAACAGCTGGTAACCGCGTAATATTCATTAACTGCCGATAGACAGCCAGTAGTATACTCCAGCATAAGTTGATACCGTACGCAATTTTTGTCTAAAACACTTTCATATTATCGCTCAGAAATTAATCGCGAACTTGGAGTAGATCAGTTTATACTAAGATCTATAGACGCAGCCCGAAATTTGACGTATGAATATTTGGGTCGAAGTCCATCAGCCACAGAGGGTAATCGCGTAATATTCATTAACTGCCGAAAAGCAGCTAGTGGTATACTTAAGGGTCAGGTGATGCCATACTAACAGCACAGGTACTAACCAAAAGCCCAGACACCCATGTTTCGCCGATATTCTGTCACTGCATGACACAGCTGCGAGGGGTCCGGCTCGCCAGTGGGTCCCCCAGCATTCCCCGTCTGCTTTCAAATAGATATCCCAATTTAGAAAATATTGCTTTTTGATTTCCTCAGTAATTAACTGCGAGTATGGCGTAGGTCAGTTTATTCAAAGTGTGTAGGCTCAGACCGAGAATTTTACGCATGAATATTTGGGCCGCATTCCATCAACCACAACAGGTAACCGCGTAACTGCCGTGCGTTTTCTGGTAGATACTCCAGTTTAGAAATTGGCTAGTACCGGTGCTGTTAGTATGGTATCATCTTACCCTAAAGTATACTACTAGCTGCCTGTCAGCGGTTAATTAATATTAGGAGGTTACCCTTTGTGGTTGATGAACTTCGGCCCAAATATTCATACACAAAATTCTCGGTCGGAGCCTACAGACCTTGAATAAACTGATCTACTCCAAGTGCGTAGACAATTTCTGAGGAAATTCAAAAGCGACAATTTCTAAATTGGAGTATCTACCAGAAAACACAGGGGGATGCTGGGAGACCCACTGACGTGCCGAACTCCTTGCAGCTGCGCCATGCAGAGGCATAATATCGGCGAAACACGCGTGCATGGGCTTTTGGCTAGTACCTGTGCTGTTAGTATGGTATCACCTTACCCTAAAATGCTTAGTTAGAAGTAGCCCAGACGCCTCAACAAACGCGTAGGTAAAAATTACCAGGCAGCTCCCTTAGCCATAGTGCACAGTATATCCTTCGGGAAAAAATCTTTTCAGGCGTTGTGCGGAAGTTGATATGACTATTTGGACTGAAATCCATCTGCTTTAGCGGAATAGCCGCGTACTATTTACATACAGTTAGGGCGGTACAAACGTTAATTGATCAACACAGCAGTAGTTTTTAAACTCAAAAAAATATTTTGTACATTACGCCTGCCAACGCGAATGGGAGAGCACCAATTTTAAGCGACTTAGCAGTCTCAGTTCTTAACTACAGAATAGGCGACTTTAGTCTTTCAGACAACTACATCCGAAAAGTTTCGGAGTTAGTGGGAGCCTACTTTGAAGATCCCCGGCGGGAACTTGGTCAACAAGCAAGCAGTAAGCAATTAAGAAAGGAAATCTAACGGATGTGTATGAGTAGAAGATTTTACAAATGTAGGGCCAATCTGAATAGATAAACCTGATATCTCGGTCTGGATGATGAACCTAAAGATCTGCTTAAATTCGCGGCAAGATATCAGTTCGTAGCCTTATCGGTTTGTGATTTGGGGTCAGGGTTAGGGGTTAAGGTTGGGGGTTAGGGTTAAGGTTAGGCGTTATGGGTTAGGGGCTGGGGTTGGGATTAGGGGGTAGCGATTAAGTTTAGGGGTTGGGGTTAGGAGTAAGAGGTTAGGGGTCAGGCTGGTGCTTGTCTACTGCAGGTACGGCTACGAAAAGAGATCCGACCAAATTCGCTAATAAAAAGAAACACGATGGGAGTTATTTCAGGCTTACCGTAGGTAAGGCGACTCTTGCGCGCGGACTCAAACCCCTTCGGAGACACATAACGCACAGAGTGGACACTGCTGGGTGATGGACGTCGCCTCCCCTTCTCATCGAAGCTGACGAATCGTAGCACCTTCTCCAGGCGTTGAATAATGTCACGGCTTGGTGAGGTCAAGTTCTCCGCCCGTAGTCCGACCAGACGACCCACAACGTTCTGGAAGTTGTTTAGCTGCAATAGTAGAATGCAAGAGAACAGTGCTTAGACTACTCGCGTTCGTCAAGGAAGAAAACACAAACACATTACGAGCAAGCGCATAACGTCGCGGCTCTACAAGAAGCTAAACAGTAAATGCTTGGGAACATTTCTTCGCAACTATGCCAAACGTAAGCCAGCGATGTGCGCTAGGTATCAGAGTTCTGATCCACGTTTTCTGCTAACAGTAAGCATCTTATTTGATTGAATTTTACAAAATCATATCCGGCGTGTAACCATTTCTAGTCAACTGCACATAATTAGGCATCGATGGTCGAGCCGGCTTCAATAGGCGAATATTTCAGTACAAATGGATGATTACTTTAACGATGGAGAACTTGGTTTATCGTAATCTAAAGTAGATTTCTAGTATCCAATATGCCTGAAGAGCAGTTCATGAACGCCAACTCATTTGTTCGTTAAAATGTGTTATGTCGGTTTCAACCTTTAGGCTTGTGGAAGTCCTTTTATGTTGCAACTTAAAGCTGACTTACAAACTTTATGGCCTACTTTCAAGCCGTGTTTCGAAAACTGTCCTATGAAATATACCACTATCACCATCTATCTGGGCAACTTTGAATGATTTAAACTTTTAAGGTAGGAAGATGTCATGTGATACTGCCGGCTGGAGTTCTTCGAACGGAGTCAGATGAAAAAGCAAGTAGATTAATGGAGCACATATTCCATTCCAGTACTGCTCACTCTCTCCGGACTCCGAGGAATTTGCTACCAAGAAACTCCAGAAAGCTCCAAACGAGGAATCCCGATCGCAAAACTCTTTGACCCAAACAAGATCCTCGTAGTCGCGTACTCTTTGCTTGATTGACATCTACCGGAGTGAGATTCCAATCAAACCAGAATTAAAGTCCACTATGAAACAAGCGTCATTCCTAATGCAACCGGCCGCTACAAAAAATAATAAACAGAGTTAACAATATGTGGTCCTCCAAAGTACTGCTCACTATCTAAAAACCCTCCACGACGTGCAAGTTCCTCAAAGCGAGGCTTTTCCACTTTTTTCTATAACTACCGCCGATAAAGACAGCAGAAACTGGAAAGGATCTGTTGGATTATTTAGTCCTCAAAGTGGGGTCAGGAAGACCGGAGCATTGTACCCGGTCTTCTAGGACAGTTAGCATTTACTTGAATGCAATACTGATTAGCCACGGCCTTGCTCCCTACCAGTATGGTAAGCAATATTTGAAGTTGCTGGGGAGAGGCATAAACTGATGTACACCACTACGGGGTAGTTCATCCGTCGTAAGCGACGAGAGCCATAATTCACCCAGAGAGGATGCAGGGACGAGTGGTGTGGGAATTTTTTTATAGGGAAAAAACTTTCGAAGCATTTGTCGCATTCTCCTTCACAAGCCCTAATTTATTTTACCGGCAGGGCAGTCAAGGCGACGGACAATGAGTGTGGGCGTACGAATGGCTCGTCTACATTCAACATGAATTCCTGAAAACTGTATCCCTTTGTACCGGACGTAAAGGAAATCTCGGATTCCGCGAGAGCGAGTGGCAAAAATTCACATTGTGAAGGAGTGATTATAGAAGTACTTTCAGTCCTGACTACGATTGGCAGTCTTACGAGCCATGATTGCTAACGTATGCATATAGTTTAAACGAGCCTCTGGCCGCCTGTCGCGAGAAAACTATGCACAAGCTGGATCCGAGTTAAACTTGCAGCACCCGCTCTGTGACTTAAAAATGCTCGAATAAGGCCTCCATCATATTCTTGCCACACGCGGATCCCGATCGTTCCGGAGTGCAAGGAATCATAAAGCCCAAGTATGACAGATCGGTCTGACCCTCTTTCTAAGGGAGGATACGATTGTCTACTCAGCCGGTAATGTTTCAACCACGACTGTTGACATGTGTTGATAGTTCCAAGTCCTTTAGTGCACCGTCATCGCATTCAGATATATCGGCCGACTGGTAATGTGATTGCGTGCAGTGCTGGCATGGCGCGAAGCTTCTGCCCAACGCATGTACGCGCATGAACGACGTTGGGTGACGACACGCGTGAACTTGGCACAGCCCGACTAGCGTATGCCAGAGGAAAATCAGTTGTCCGGGTTTCGGTCTAGAACAACTACAGGGGCCGCCTTGTGGGGAGGATATATCTCTACCACTCCATTACTCACATACTTCAGCCGGCTTTCAGACGGGCTTTTCCTCTAGGTTTGTTTGAAAGCAGTATGCAGGTACTTGTAGGCCAGAAAATGGCTTAGGTACTTTAGTCGATTTCAGCATTTATTTTAGGGTAAACCTTATCAACTGTTCCTCTGCGACAGGGTGTGAAAAAACAGGTTAATTGTCAAATTTCATGATAAAGTAGCAAATCTAAATTTACTCTCCGACTTTATAAGCTTAGATCAGCGGCTGGTGTATTTTGGGTTGACAACACTACTTTTGCTTTTGCCGGACCCTTTGTCCAAGCCAATGCATCCCTGCGGCCGACAAACAGCTTCATGCTACATAAAAATTCCCCCTCCAATCTGTATGCTGGAAGTTCTCATTTTAAGCTGCGATAGGCTGATCGTTTGTTTAATCATGGTCTCCTGCGTTCGAACTTAGAGGTTGAAATATGATTGGCCGTGGACTGCAGATAGGCCAGAAATCGGCATCTTACCCTCCAGAGGTTGGGTCATTGTCCATTCTGCACGAGCGATTGTTTATTCCCGTGGTCAGTCATCGAGAGCTCTGGTTTTGACTTCGAAGGTGAAACTGGGCAAATCTATTCGTTCCCACAATCGGGTCGGCAAGGCGTCACTTCCACAACCAGCGTTAATTTCAAATAAAACGCCCCCACTAGAAGTCCCGTCGCGGACAAATGGGAGACTTTTGACTATTAGAGTGATGGTCAGAATGCAGTTGTACTACCAAACGCGAACTTTTGGATTAGACGCCTACGCGAGATCCACCTTGGCTGCGGAGGGAAAATAGAGTGCACTTTCAAGGCGCCGCATTCTCAGACACGGAAGTACGCCTCCTCTTCAGACATTCTGATACAACCCTGCCATTAGAAGATGGAACATGTTGTTAGCAGCTGCCCTCGTGCGGCAAGGGGAACGATCTACACCACAGCGCATGCAAACAACCATGCATATGCCACTTAGCTAACAAACAGTTATTGGCACTGTCTCCGCTCTTTCAATCTACCACGAAGACTACTGCGTAACCTTGCGGAGTTTATAGGAACCGAATATGCCCTGCATGGTATCCCTGATAGTGAACAGGGTCTCCATTATGCCTAATTTCGCAGTTATTATCTTGCCTACCATCGCAATGAAAGAAATTTCTCTTACAGATAGCGAGTGTAACTTTGACACCATTCATTTCCCTTCAACGTAGATACGGTCGTGGGGAGGGTGTGCAGTCCAGAAGTAGAAACAATTAATGTGACCTATTTTCTGTATCGTGCCCTATCCGTGCTGATAAGTGCCTCTTACGCAGCAAAGTAAAACATAAGAAGCGGCGAAATTGGCAAGCTCGGAGGACATCTGTTAAGTTCGTATTAGTTTAAGTGTTCCGGGAGACGTGCTAGGCCTAAACTTTTTCATTCGGCATCTTTAGCCCTCTTCTAAGGCAAAAAATATTACTTCCAGGAATTCGCGTTCGGCCGGGGCAATTATTGGCTAGTTCGCATATGGTAGGAATGTCAAAACGCGAACGAGTAATTCCTTTGGCACAGGCAGATAGAAAGGCTCTCAGGATGGGAAGGGGTGCAGGGAAAAGTAGGCTAACATGCCAATTGGAATATCTGGCCGAAATTCCCTCGCGCATGCAGAAACAGGCTGTGTTGGCAGATTACCTGTACCATCGCAGTGACCAGTAGGAACAACCGTAACGACTTATGACAGTTTTTGGCACGCTAGAGACGCTCCATTCGCTCTGGGTCAACACCCCGTGTGCATTAGGTGGGCGGACACAGAGCTGCTTATCGTCCTGGTCCTGTTCGGCGAGTGTGACTTGCATCGCAGCTGCACGAGAAAAAATAGTCTGAGGTGGCAACCTGCTTTTTTGCCCTAATTGTAGAATTCGTTTTGCGATATGGAAGTTATGTGAAAAGGTCCGACAGAGTCTTGTTTTTATCAACTCGTCGGGTGAATCGTCTTGGATGGGCGGTACAGTGGAAATTCTTCATCTCATTAGCAATCTGCTTAGAATTTGCCTTTCCTTCCTGGATATGTGCACTTATGTGTGAACGTTTCCCTTTTCCACACACGAAATTTTCCTTATTCTTTTCCTTGATGTCATCCAGTGAACAGCTTCTGCCGACTCTCCTGACAAGATAGTTAATTAAGCTCGTTTTTCTGGTCGGAATGCGCACAATTATTTCGAGTGATCTGTGACAGGTGAAAGAGGACGTGAATTGCCATTGATTCACGTAAAACGGTCCTATATTTTGAGCCGCTGACTCATGTTCCTAAGCTATCCGAGCTGCCAGACATTCACCAAAACGGGCACGCCGCTCAAATTTACCTCGCCAACGACGAACTATCTTCTGAGAAAGCTTACATGGCGGTTGGGCAAACATATCAAACTGATTCGTTGCAGTTCGTCGCATATGCAGCAAAAGACCCTTGCGGTTTCTTTGACAGTCTACAAGTGTATCATTGCACGGGCAGGCAGAGCCCGTTCAGTAACATGCCGACATAATGCATGAGCACTCATCTAAACCTGTTTCGCAACAAGTCATTCATGTCCGTTACCGCTTTCTTGGGCCAAGGACACGCAGGTTCTCTCTAATGGACAACTTTGCTGGCGGATGGGCAGTCTAGCAGCGAGAAGCATATTAAGCCCAGTTCCTGTAAATAACCCCTGGTCATGGCCCCAGCTACGACTGGTAAAAAGCCTAACAGAAACCACATCTTATAGCGAACATGCAAACGACATTTTCACCCTCCATGACAGACCGAGACTTGAGGAAGTGGTGCCCAACGTCACAGTCACCCCACAGACGAAACGCGTGCTGAAAGCAGAGGAGACAATGAAATGCCCCTATGGGCGTTCTCGTGCATAGATGCAAAACGAATATGTGCAGATGTTTGTGCGTCGGAAGCAAGCTGGTCCCCACAACGAGCTGCGCTGCAGATGTCCTAAACAAAAACGGGGTCAGAGTGGCTCAAGGCACGCTCGAACCCATAACAACTTCCGCACTTTTGTGCGTCACGCCATAGGTGTGTAGACCTTCACATCATGGCGGCTACTACGCCAATTCCCATCATCAACTGTTTGATATGCTCGTACGGCCGACCGAGATATGGGAGAGGGAAGCAAGAATGAGACCGACACAGGAGAATCCATCCTTGCGGAAACTCAGCGCACTTCTAATTATAAGAAATCTGAGGTGCCTGGACCTATCGTAACGTTACAAGAGGTGTGGTGTGAAAGACTGCCAACTGACGGAATAGCCTTGTCCCAATGTAGCTGGTGGACTGAGAGTGGGGCTGCAAAGCTTCTTCTTAACGTGGCCTTCATGGCATTTTCACTAATGTGATTTCCGAGGGGTCCTTGTTTTAGCCTGGTGTATTGGGAGGGGAGTTACGTCGTGTGTAGCACGAGCAGACGGACTGCTTGCAGTGCGTGACCGATCTCACGAAATGCTGGCCGAAATTCTGAAATGCGTGTTCGATTAAAAAGGATTGCTTTGGTGGAGTTGTAATACTGATTAGCATGCAACGTTATCCTGTAAAATTTAGGGTTCAGCAGGATGTCAACTTTTGAATGCACTCCTTTTTAAAATCCTGCGGAAACCACACAGGGCAAAAAATGACTACTTAAGTATCATGCATTTTTCCTATTGATTTTCGGTGGTCTTATAAATTTAATTACATTTTATGGAAAACATGCGCAAAGATATGCCGTATTTACTCCTCTGGTAGAAAATCACATTATCTTCATATTTCATACCCGAAGAAAGTGTATATTTCGGTTTAAAGAAGTTTCTAATTATGGGATTTTTAAGACCGTGCAAGGTTCATGCATACAGGACCGCACATGTCCGTTTACCAATGCTCCTCATAAACTGTACAACACAGTCCGGATCCATCGCGCAATTTTCTGAACTTTATATATATATCTCCTAGAAGGTGTAGAGGTATATACGATTTTCTCTACGCGGAAGGCATGCACCTTGCAGACTGAAATCGCAAACGCTAATGCAATGGCAGATCAGGCTCAAAATTATTCAGGAATTGGGAAGTTTTTTTGAAACCTAAATATACACTTTCTTCGGGTATAAAATATGAAGATAATGTGAATTTCTACCAGAGGAGTAAATAAGGCATATTTTTGCGCATGTTTTCCATAAAATGTAATTAAATTTATAAGACCACCGAAAATCAATAGGAAAAATGCATGATACTTAAGTAGTCATTTTTTGCCCTGTGTGGTTTCCGCAGGATTTTAAAAAGGAGTGCATTCAAAAGTTGACATCCTGTTAAATCCAAAATTTTATAGGATAATGCTGCATGCTAATCAGTATTACAACTCCATCTAAGTAATCCTTTTTAATCGAACACTCATTCCAGAAGTTTGGCCAACATTTCGTTAGATCGGCCACGCACTGTAGCTCTTTCAGCCACTGACTCATGCCCACCTCCGGTTGTTTTGACATTATTCTGCCATCTGTGCAAGGTGAATGACGGAGGAGAGAGTGCAGTAGACGCAGCGAAAGTCTGCCTCACGATCAACTAATTCATGTGCGCATTCTGTGAGGAAGGCGTTCGACGCTGTCTCTTGTGATGTTGCCACTGTCATTTCGGAAAACTAGTTTGAGAGAGCAGTATTTGTGTCATAGGCTCTTTGATTGTGTGCCGTTTTCCGGACTGGCCGTCCAATTGACTTTGGAGAAGGAGAGAGAATGTGTCAGGATGACCTACCTCAAAGCAGCTGCTGGGCATTGACTATATTGCAGTAGGAACTTCGGCCACTTGAAAGAGATGGACACGTGGTTAACCTCACATTTTCCCGATCTCTTCGTTCTTTATTTTTTCTTCCCCCCTATCCACACATTTTGGTGAGGTTCTCACACACATATGACTACGTTTTCCTGCCACCTACTACCTAGCACGTTCGTTGAGCTCCAGTCTGCTGTTCAAGCATCATGCCTCCCTTCCTCTGATCAGCCTGCTGAGATGGATGGCCGACATCCCCTGTCTCCTAGCGAACACCTCAGTCGACCTTTTCCAGGCCGCTTTCACACAACGATATCAGTATTCGTTGACCGCTTGCTATTAAATAAGATGTCACGAAATCCGGCGAGGTCACTGAGTCCTGCTCTTTTTCGTCATTTTGGCTTTGCTCAAGATTCTTGTCATCTTCCCTATTTTTTAGCAGACGTCGCGTATAAACGAAAAGCCTCAAATGAGTGGGAATTGCCTAAAACCAGGGAAAAAACAGGAACGACCGTTTCGTCGTATGCGCCAGCCATCCACCCGCCAATCAGGACTGAGCAAACCCAACTATCCATCGTGTTTAACGTACTATCAAATCAAACACAGTCTCATGTTCTGTCGACTACCATCAGTCATATTCAGATTTACCTGGGGTTATCCTTCGCCACTCTGGTCTGACTGAAGGTTGCAATAACGAGACTTAATTCTGCTATTTAAAGAATATTTTTGGCGACAACACCTCATTTTCCGACCGTCTTACTTTACCATTGGCCGCGTGACGATCAAAACTGCATGTTTTCCCACTTAGCTGGTGAAAATTTACACGCCTGTCTTCCTTGCTCGGCCGCATCCCTGCGCATGCCATCCCATCCCCCCCCCCTCTCCGCCCACCCCGCCCCACCCCTGCGACCGAGTGACTCACTGGCGGGGGTGAATCGCGTTACCTCGTGTCGACGGCGTGCAGGCGACCTCTCATCTCCTACTTTCGGCCTTGGAGCACGAAGGGAGCATCAATCTCGGGCCAACACACGCGCGTCTGACCCTGTTGGCCTGACATGCCGAGGTCGTACATAATGCGCGATGACTTGCCGTGTTCACGACCTCTGCGGACGCCGCGTGTGTGCAACGGCCTGACTACGAGGGCACTCTTCTTTCGCGGTAGACCGTCGACACTGAGGCCGGGAGTAAGTGAGACACATCATGACCAGTCCGTCCCAACGGCGTGTGCTTTCCTATACCTAGTCAGCAAGTGCGGCAGCGACATGGTCGGCAAGATAGAGGGGCCATGAAAGAAAGCTGAGACTGTCGTTGCCTGATTTCCCGCATTATAGATTCTCTTGAAGTTCCAGAAGCCAGTGCGATCGCAAAACTATCGATCTTCCGTTTTGAGGAAACAGTTTTATTTGGCATGGGTGTTCATTTTTCGGCTAGATCGCAGTTGGTAGTCAGAAATGGGGAAGTGGACGGCCACCTTAACCCTAATCCTAACCTTAACCCTAACCCTAATCTCAACCTTAAACGTTAACCGTTAACCATAACGACAACCCTAACCCTGACCGAAATCGTAAATGGAAGTGTAGCCCTTAGACATAGCCGTAACTGAAAAACCCAACCGTAATACTGAAACCTAATAGTACGTTCAAACCCTAACCGTAACCCGAAAACCTAAGCCTAAAGGCACAACCCTAACCGGAAAATCGGAAACCATTAACCGGTACCCTAATCCTAACCTCGAACGTAAAGCGGAAGCCAAAGGGGTCAGATGTAATCATGAAACCCCACAAAATAGCCCCAGTAAACAAACCCCCCACCCGCTTGTAATACGGGCCCTAGCTGCCAACTGCGATCTAGCCCATTTTTCTTCTGACCTAAAGTTTTGCTTGATTTTTAGGTAATCACAGGAACGAGAACCTCCGCATTGCAGGCGTCTTCACAGGGAGTGGGGGTTGGGGGTTAGCGTTGGGGCTAGGACCAGGACGATTGGGGTAAGGATTGGGGTTAGTAGCAGGGTCAAGTTTAGGTGGATTAATGGTAGGGTTCGGGTTAAAGTTAGAACACGGAAAATGGCGCGTCATCTGACATTTGGCAAAAGGCAAACACTCTTGCGGGGGATGTACCAGTTCCCGTGTTCTACCGGTATTTATTCTGCAATACGATATAATGCAGTGCCACCGTTATTTGCTATCGTCAGTTAGGAGTTGCTAACAAATGGCTCCACAGTCAATCAGAATTGAAAAGCTACAAAATTCAAACTGTTTCAAGGCTGGCCAATCATTTGTGATAGAAAGGGTACAATTACGCGCAAACAGACCGCAAAACAAAAAGGCGGAAACCAGAAAATTGGAAAAAGTAATCGGTCAACATGATCGGAGGAAATTTTTAAAACATATGGGGTGATTCTACAATGTTTGCGAGTGGTAACATTTTAGGTGACTTGGAATGCCGCAGTTGGAAAGCGAAAACTCCAGGGTGTAACTGTGAACGTAGATCAGCCTCCTATTATATGGTTCAGGTGTTCAGTGGTTTTTGACTTAATGAAAACAACACTGAATATAACATGTTTACTATCATGCCAGAATTGAAGAGAAGCTTACGCGTAAGATAAGTCTGTCGGACGGAATTAGACAATCCTTTGGAGTGAGTCATTGCTGAGACAGATTGTTCGCTTTAATTTAGAGATGAAGTGTTTTTAAACTGTTGGTGTTCGTTTATTTTCCTGCAGTGTTCTAGCAGGTCATAAGAAGATATTGCCCGCATGCAGCTCCAAAGCCCTTTTGAAAATTGAGTTCTGATTCATTGGACTTGCGTACACAGTCGTTCAGGTGATCATATAGTAGAAATATCGTTGAATACGCGGTTGCTTCAAATATCGGTGACCGCGCGCTCGATAACACCACAAGAACAGACTCGCGGCGGAACATGAAGCCGTCCGCCCGGGGATGCGCCAACCTTTCCTGCATCGTCGCAGTTTTCTTGCTTATAAACTCGTTTCTTAACATGTTTAAGCCATTACTACTTTTGGAGCGGTGCTTATCAACTCTGTTCAGTACTTTCGTCGGCTAGAACGATCCTAACTGCGTATTTAACCGCGGGTGTGTCGTACTAAACTTCGTTGACCACTACATGGAACCACCCAGGCCCGAACAAACCGGCTAGAGCCAAGGTGGACCGGTTTTGGTTTAACGCAACGGCAGGGCAGCTCGTAAGGGAAAGGACAAGCTACTCATGCGTTCTAAATTTCGCGGTACATTGCGTTTTTGCGGGTTCTCACAGCTCCCCTATAAGTATTTATCAGTCGCCGAGGAATTTTGCTCATACTCGCGAGTTTCGTACTCATTCTGGGCCCACTCAACATGTTTACCGGCAGCCTGGGACGCAAATTTCAGAGAATGAATTTGCGAAAAGTAGTTCCACGTGGTGCAAATTATTTAATAACGCATAAAGTACCATTTTATCATAAGTATCAGCACTAGGTTCTACTACACATGCTAGTGGCGAATGTTTGAAGCGCAGAGCATTATTCAAATGCTGTAGTGAGAAATGATGGGACTTTCGCACAATCCATGTTCCGTAGGATTTACTGCGATTGAAATAATTACGGAGGGAGGCGGAGTTATTTTATGATTTAAACGGATTTGCTTCGAGCGGTTAGGCCACCATTTAAGTTGGTTAACTATGAATCCCGACTGCTATTGTGAGTTGAGGCTGCGGGTAACGGAGCTTGATCTTTACAGCTTATAACAATGGGCAATCACTATTTATTTCAGATGCAAAAGCAGATGAGGCAAACCGAGGTGGTGCTGAGGTCATCAGCTAAGACAACCGTTTTAAATGGAGGAAATCTACCACAGGGTGAAATTCGCAAAAAGAGAAATAAGCAAGAATGTGTTTAGAATGACGCCTGAGAATCTGGGGATAACGTGAATTAACGCTGTGTCCTGCGTTACTTACATCCACATTTTCCCTCCTCAGTTCCTCCACCAATTTGTAATTCTCCTGCATCTCTTCAGAGAGGGCGTTGTGACTCTCATCTCTCTGCAAAATTCTCCTCGCAGTTGCCGCCTGTTGAGACTCAACAATGGCCACCAGCTCGCCGATTTTATTGGCTTGTCGTTGCCGTATGTCCTCTAGTCGTTGGACGGTGTCCTCCATTGCGGTGGCTCTCATTACTTCCTTTTCTAATCTAATCTACTTGAGCAGATAAATAGCATTACTTATAAATTATAAGTAAACAGGTAAGTAGTTTGATCGATAAGCACGTGAAAGAGGGCTTTAGTCAGCCACATTACCTGCATATCGGTGCTATCCTTCAAGTCGGCCTTCAATCGCAGAATCTCATCGCGCAGTTTGTTAACTTCCGTCTCCGACCTGTGAGCTTTCAGCGCTCGTTGTTCAGCTAGGGACTGTTTTTCAAGCGCCTCGGTTTCGCTTTTTCGTGCGCTATTTACCTCTTCCTCTGACTTGTTTGCCTTCTGACGCCACATCTGCAACTGAACGTCCTTACTGGCAAGTTGATCTTGAAGTCGCTGGATGCGTTGCTGAAGACGGGAGGCACCGTCGATGTCTTGCTGGCTTGTTGTGGGTACGTGTTTCAGGCGCTCTTGCGCGAAAATTAGACAAAAATGCTATGAGCAATATCTCAGTATGAATGTAACGCAGCCTGCATGTATTTATCATTTAGTTGAAAAAAATAGGGGGACGGCGATCTCGGATCTTGGCCGATAAGTCGCTTAGATGTAGCTAGAATAGGACGGAACCAGTAATCATTCAATGGTGACACATACTACGAAACTTTAACTGAAATTTCGAAATGCGGTTTTGATTATGAAAGATTGCTAAAGTAGGGTTGTATTATTTCTTATCGTGCAGCATAATCTCATGATAATTTAGGTTTAACAGAATTTTGGTTTCCAACGCGCTTTTTTCGACAGATTGAAAAAATCGTATTTGGTATATAGCTTAGGAACTGAATACTCCTAGACGCAAATGCAACGGCAGGCATGGCTTAAGATTATTGGGCAATTGAAAACCGCTTTTATATCTTAGAGACACCCTTTCTTCGGGTTCACAATCTAAAAAGGTACCCTTTTTACAAAGTAACTGCGTAAGAGGATGTTTTTGTACACGTCTTCTACAAAAATATATTTGAATTTTTAGAGTCGTCGGCGATTATTGGGTGAATACATACTATATAAATAGACACTTTACCGAACATGCTTTCTGCAAGCGACCGAATAAAAGTGCGCCAACGTCCAAACATGCCTGAGATATCTCGGATTTGTGCTGCATGATAATAAATATTACACTCCCACTTAGATACTCTTTCCCGATCTGAAATGCATTTCATAATTACGGTTAGAATTTCATACGATCGACCACTGATTGTGCTTCACAAGTTTCAGGCGTTTTGTGACTCAATATATTTATAGGTAATTTTTGTGATCAAACTTAAATTGTGAATAGTTGCAGATGGAAAAAATTAAACTAAAAAGCCCCATTCTAAATGACACCTCTAATTTTCTTCTGTCTGATAATTCATTGAAAATATACTGAAATTTACCTAGCAGAAAGTCTTGTAACTCGCATAACTCCATTGGCGATGTGATCAAGGGTTCAATGGACAGGAAGTGTGCCAGCCTCTGGAGGTACTCCTTGAACTGAATGAAAATAAAGCATTTCAGCGGTTCTAAAAATAAGGGATATTCTGAAACTTGCTTTCATTTTCCAACGCCTACTCTGAGGGGTCAACTGGATGGCACAAACATCGATATGGAAACACAGTAGTTTCGGCACACCATCAGGCAAATGGAAACCAAGTCACTGTTGAGTATTTGAAACAGAAACAGCAATTGCATTGCCATACATTGCATGTAGCTAATTATTATCCGTTAGATTTCTAAAATGTGCACTACGAAGCAAGTTTTTATATCCAAAAATCTAGTGTCCGTCTCGTTAAAAGTTCTCATTTTCTTAAAGTAACTAACTCAATTTACTCCGCATGTTTGCTTTTGAACTAAGTCATCATTAATACATAGAATACTCGTCACATCAGCAGAATTAGGAACTATTTTTACATTAAGACGGCTTCGCAAGTGCTTGCAAAAAGAATGTGCTAGAAGAAGCTTAAAGAAACCTCTTCCGAATGCTGACTGGCAGGTGTTCTAACCAAACTGATGCTTAATGACGAATGGCAAATCCTTCAAAGCATGAATATGCCTGAATATTCCTAGTTATATTATGGGGGAAAGTTTGGTTCAAGAGAGTGTAGACATCTGTGATGAAGTAATTTAGCTCACCTTCTCGTTCATAGAGGTGAGTTCGCTGCAGGCGTGTGTGTGCGAATCAGTTTTATTCAGTCTCTCCTTCTGTAGGGCGTTTTCATGATTCAGTTTCACAATGCGCTTCTCGGACTCGGTTACACAACGCTCCAGTTCTTCAATGCGACCACTCAGGGTGGTGACCCGGGACTCCAGGCGGGAGCAGTTCTAAAACGCAGGCAACATATGGACCAGGTGGAATGATGAGTAAAAGAAAGCGATGGCTTTAAAGGGCTAAAATTTCCCTAGCGTTATGAAGTCAATCTTACTGTTTTCGATTGTTCTTTTACTACCCAATGCCATTGGCAAGGTATAGGGAAAACATCTGTTTAATTGTAACTTTGTCGGATGATTACAGCGTTAGTAAATTACTTAAAGAATAAATTATATATGGTTAGGGCAGTAGGCTACTAAATTCCCGAAAGACTTCGTTCGTATAATTATTCCAAGCAATTGTCCGTAAAATAAAAGTGCGAGTCTCGGGAAGCCGTTGAGAAGAGACAGATGCGCTCACTAGCCTACGGTCAATTAACAATCGCCATGACCTGTCCCCTTCACATTCGGTGCTGAGAATAAGCCTGGACAGAATAATGAAGCACGCGGAGAGCGCGCAGGAGAACACCGTTTCCAGCGTCAGTGTCGGCGAACCGAATGGCCGCGGCATTATCGTGCCAATATCTAAGACGGGTGATGAAATAGTGACAATTAACGACTCGAATGCCGGCTGCCAATCAAGTATCGCACTGGGGGCAACAATATACGATGAAGGGGGTGTCGGTTATTTTGGCATAAGGACTGCACCCTGTAGATACTGTCAGCTTGTGTATGAATTACATGTGTCTGATGCTGCATCTGATGATGGGTTCAAGCATGAATACGAAACGCCAGGCAAATAGAGTTCCTGTTCCAGCGATCACGTCTACTTCTTTTCAAACATAACAATGCTTATTGCGGTAACACACGAAAATATAAAAGAAACGGGGCTAGAAGTCAGTTGGGTAAGACGGAGTCGTTCACCGCCTATCGGATTTGCGAAAGTGGACAAATCAGACCGTCTCTGGCACTCAGAATTCTATTGACTGCAAGTGTTTATCCCCTGTGTATGTGCTGTTTAGCATTGCACTCCCCGCGCAGGTGGTCGTGAGACTGGAAAATAGGTTTACCTTGGTAAACACGCACAGGAAATAGAAGTACGAAAAGTTACAGGTTGTGAGCGTGCTGGGATCCAGAACTTTACTCGTATGGCCACTTTAAACAACACTAAGACACCCCAAAGTCGTCCTACATTGACGATGTGTACTGCTAAAGAGCTCTGGCTATCGAAAGAAGCGTAGAGGTGACTTCCAAGTAGCAGTTCAAAGGACGAACGTGTAATCACTGGAACAAAAATTTACTCGGCTGACATCCTCGAGCCTCATTCGATCCCATCACCAGGGACAGTCGCAAATAAGGATGATGGAGGTACAAGGAGTGTAGTATTTAGAGGCGCAGTTGCCATGGCACCACACGCTCCGCATAATTAATAGCTCCCGGCCTGAGTCATGGTTATCTGGCCCACAGTCGATTTACAAGCTCTCGGGCCTCTCTCCTCCGTATTTAGTGCTGAGATTGTGCTTGCGCAGAGGAATTAGTCGCGTGTGGAGCACGCGGGAGACCGACAGTTCCGATGGCAGCGAGCGAGATTCGTTGGAGAATCCGAAACGTCGGGCTAAGAAACTTCTGATTCCGGCGATCGCACCTTCTTCTAAGTTCTGGTTATATTAAACCTTTGAGAGTCTAGTCTCATTGTAATTGACTACGAAAATTCCTTAGTAGGGTTTCCACATTTTGAATATTACAGAGAAATATGGAGAATAATAGACCTTGGCTTTCAGTTCTACCGGCGATGCCCAGTGCAATTAAGAATGGTACCTAGTTGAACGCCCTCCCTCCCTTAGTATTGGGAAGCTATCCTCTCATTCGACCTATCATATCGTGGATTCTGCTTCTTCGTGGGAATTTGGCTTGATTTTGGGGGCTTCTCTTCAAGGTTATTAAACTCGGAGAATGTGAAATAAAAGCATTGCGAGAAGCTGCACACCTGCCTCGTATTTGTGCCTGAGATGGACACGCTAATTTTCTCAGTGACTTCCGTGCACGAGCAGGCACGGACAGTGCCACCTGAGAAAGAGATCTGATCATCACCGAGTAGGCACCTACAACGGCAACAACACCCTTATCTGCTACTGTCTGTGATGATGGGTCTGAGTGAGAATCGGAAACTCCAGGCCAACAAACTTCTTGTTCCTGTGATCGCATTATCTTCTTCTGAGCAATTACGCTTCTCTGTTCAGAACACAAGCTGCTTGTAATTATCACCACACTTCCTCATTCAAACAGTCAAAAGAGCGTGCGAATACGCATTTGCTCACATACCTAGTGAGAGTCCGACGGCCGCGAGCGACGACGTCCACTACGTGCCCCGCATGGTGGGCGCAGCGTGGGTGACTTTTGAGTGAATTATTTTATGGTGGGGCAGACTTACAATGTAGCCGCCGCACTCCCCCTTCCTTACTCAGCATGTTACGATGGCCAAGCAATGTCAAGACGAGCATAGTGGCTGACAAAGTGAAACAATCTGTCTACGCGTGCCACGCGCGATCCTGCCCTCGCGAATTGTGCAGGGTTTTCCCAGAGGTGGGGTTCAAGCCTCATGTTCCTGAGAGTACCATAAAGACCACACTGGGAAGCTGCCACTGAGCCCCACTCCCAGCCCTGAGGCCAGCCACCCCCTATACACAGAGTACTGATTACGAGGACTAAGTTATCCGGTCAGCTAGCAGTTTTCCAAGCTTAAACTGTGAACGTGTTGTGATGCTATCAAAGTGCGACAGATTTGATATAGTGAAGAATGTGTGGATGTGCTGTGGGAGTGATTTTCTCAGAGTTGTCTTAACTGTCTCTTCTCTGTCCTCTGTGCCAGTCAGCCGTCAAAATCTGTCAGTCGTAAGACCCTGGGATTGGAGGCAGTGGCTAGCGGAGCTGCAACGGTCCGCTTACCTGCACCACACATGGCCTGGTCAGGCACTGGTTTGCGCCAAGGAACATGCTCCCCACTGATGTGGGCGGCGCATGTTCTCTTAATGCGTCGGGTGTTGTGAGGCGGGCTGTTGTACCGTGTATGAACTGTTAGGATGAGGCGTGATGGCGAGGTGAGGTCTGCGCTGTTTTACTGCAGGTTTTCATGACAGCGCATATGGCTGAATAGGCTCATGAAATGACTGAATGTCCTTGCTCAGCGTCTGCAGTTGACGTGGATGCGACAAGCGTATATTGGGGCTCGGGAACCGATACGCCAGAATCAGTACCCTGAGTACGCACGTGCCCGACCAGATCGACGCGTTATGTAAATGTGCTGTGGGAGTAAGGATAAGATGGTACTTTATCGCGTGAGCTGAACGGTTTAGTAAACGCTAGTCAACATGCTCGCCGGGAGGCGAGACCATTGTGACGTTCACGTAATAAAGGCAGGCGTTTTTGGAAACCCACGGAAAAGACTGTGAGGCGTCACTTATTCCAACACCACACCTGTCCTTGGTCCTGCACCCTGGCGACACCAGGACTGGTTGCATGAAAACAAGACAGAATTCCAGAGTATGGTCTCCGGTGAAAGTGTGCTTCATAGGACCTACTCAAACAACAACACCGTCCCGAATAATATGGCATTCTCCCTTTACTGATTCCATTTGGCATACTATGCCACGAGCGATACAAAACAGCTGGCTAACACAAGAACAATAGGCTGCCTAAATATGCATGGACCATGATGCCATTAGGGTTTCTTTTGCAGACATTAGGATAATCCACGTAACCCGGCACGAAGCACCTTCCTCGGGGCTCAGTCCAGAGGGAACCGTTTTACTGTCAAAGAAATAGCAGCTTCTAGAGGGTTGTCGCGACCACTTCAGTGTGTCCTCAGTTATCTCGCTTCAGTCTGCGAAGGGATAATCAAAACAATTCCCCACGCCGGAAGCGCGCTAACTATCCTAATCTGTCATACAAAGAGAAGGCGACCGGTGAAAGAGCTCGAACGACAGCCCACTCCGAAGATAATTTGCCAAACAAGCTAGTTCTCGACTTTTAGACAATCCGATATTGTCGTTCAGGCAGATGCGGAGATACATATAACTCTCATAGGCCTTCGATAAAACCGTCATTTTTAAACTCAGCAAACGGAAACGAGATCAGAAAGTCCACAATAATAATCGTAGGGCATTTCTGCTCAGAACTGCCAGTAAAGTATTTACAAACATACATCGCAGTTGTCCGCCTGTACACCTGGAAAAGGGCTTCTCTCAGAAACTGAATGTTAACTTCGAAAACACTGTAAAGCAACATGCATGGTAGTCGCAGTACGATGCCGGACCTAGAGAAGCTTAGAGACAAGAATCTCCCTCTGCGCCACTTTCTTAAGGCTCGCCAGAGCCTTTTAAATCGTGAACCAAAGTTGACTCTGTAAGTTAACTATGAAATGTGGATGCCCCAAAGGGTTCACGAGGATGGTTAGACAACATCACAGAAAAATGCTTAAGATTGTTGCGGACAGCGTGTCGAACTCAAAATCACTTATTTCGGCGAATGAGGTGAAACAGGGTTTGTGCGTTTTCTCCAGTCCTGCTCAGTCCCATGTTTACTGCAACGCAACACAAGGGATCTACATCGATTGCTGAATGCGCGAGAAACTGTTCAACATCCTCCGCGCGCAGGTCCACAAGAAAACCTCAAACGCTGAGATAAAGAGTCTTCTGTTCAACGGCAGTAATAACGAGGCGGTATACCGAAATCTGGACCTGTCCGTCTCCGGACTCGTCCACTGCAATCTAGACATCGTCATGGCGAAAACGGTTGCTATGCCTCACTAAGCTCTAATAGTGGAATAAACGGAGACCTCGATAATTGCTAACGACTTTCGCCGCGCCACCGTGGGTCCATTCTCGTTATTTAGAAAATTCCTCCCAAGAAGCATCAAGACTGGCGAGATTGCGACCGAAATACCAAGGACTATTAGACATTTGCTTCGTAAAACCTCGGTTTAAGCCTAGATCGAGCCTCTCTATGGTGCCGGACCTGGATATTTTACCGAAACCAACCAAAAAGACTGAACGGCCTTTGCATGAGCTCAGTCAGCAGTAGTAGTCTCGGTGTTTACGCAAGGCTGATGGTGATTAAACTTTAATGAGGCGGCCGTGCCATGAAAAAGAACGACGGATGTTAATCGAAACAACTTGTCTCTGGCGACGTTACTACCGGTGCTCCACTTGAAGATATTCAGAAGTGAGAGCACCTCGAGAAACTCAGTGAAATAATTAAGAACGACGATGGACGATTGGAACAAACTTCTGGAAAATTGGCGACACGGTGATCAGAAGCAACGATCCTGGCGACCGGTCATATGCAACAGACCAGTGGGAAGCTGCAAATGCGACAGACTGGAATTCCGAAGATCGGCGCTACGACTGCCGAACCCCACCAGCCTGCCCGCGCTGCCAGCGCACGTGCAAGCACCGGATTCGCCATGTCTGAGATTCACGCATCCATCGTGGTGAAATCACTCTCATTTCGTCGGTTGTTCTTCAGAATACCAATGTCATCATAGAATCCGTCCCAAAGTTGCCCACAATGTGACAGTATGTTTCAATCGCACCTCTTCTCTTTCAAAAAATCCCCGCAGTAATTGGAATATTGACATCTCCAGGAGAGGTAGATGACCGGGGGCAATGCCCACACAGTCGCAACCTGTCCACAGTGTGGCCGCACCCTCAAGTGGCACATTGGCCTGACCGGACATTTGCGCATAAATTGTAGGACGGAGGACAGCTAACGGGAGACCTATCCAGATATCGTCAGTCAGCTGACCTGTTTTCCTGATATTATAGCTTCATGCACTGAATTGGCCTATTTGGGCATGTGCTTGCATGCCAATTAGAGCCTCAACCATCATTTACGCAACAAGTTCGGTCCTGAATTTCATCATTGTTGGGAACGATGAGAAGTAGGCGTGGGACTAAGCATCCCACCTACTACATTTTACGTTTTGTCTTTGTAGTACGCTCCATTCCAGGGGCACCTTTTCCTGTATCCCAACTGTACACCTAAAGCTAACTGATAACCTAGCCATAACGTCAGCCCAACGCTAATCCTCATAACCCCAACCCTAACCTTTCCCAGAATCTAGCGTAGGGCCACCTGCAATACTTGGGATACTCATTACCCCGCCCTTATCAACAGGGAACAGTCAGTATGAATTAAATCTTTGGATTTCGTTTTCTGGCTCCGAGTTTTGAGTTTCCACCAGATTGCGGTTACCATTATTTGCTATCTGAAGGACGCTAACTAGATTACAATTATTGCGGTTCATTTTTACCAAAGAAAGAAGCAAGACATTTCAATACATTTCAACTAAAAGATAGGCATTCTTACTAACATCGGCCATTGTATCATGTCGGATATAAAGCACTTTTTGTCCTATGTGCGAATTCTTGGCAGACGAGGGCTGGCAATGAAGATAGACTGCTTTAACTTGCCATGTGCTTTACAAAACTCTGTGCTATTTCCATGGTAGTGAAGTGGGAACGCTTTGGATCTGGTGACAAGTAATTGTACACTCAAACTGCTTAGGCAAGACTAATTTAAAATAAGAATAACGCAAATACGGCCAAAATATTCTCGTGGCTGTCAACTTTGTCGCGACCTCATGGTTAGTTAACGGAATGGCGATACGATATTTATAAACCAGTGTGGACAGATACGATCACAAATAATAAAACATGGACATTTCGTAGCGCGGAGAGCGTCTGGTCTCGATTAGCTTTCAACAAGCGCATCATTCGGAATCCGGCATTCGTTCTAGGGCGGAATTGGGGCGTTAGGTAGCACCTAATGAGCGCGAATGTTCTTTATGTACAGATTTGACTGACTTTTTGACCTGAAGCCTCGTTCCACTAAGCGAACACCTTAATGTTGCAAATCATATGCACACATCAAGCGATGGTGCTTCAAAAATGTGCACCAACTTGTTACAGGCGACCATGAACGTTCTACAATTTTCGCTGAGAAAGTTATTTTATCCATCACAGATGAGTGTATGCTCACCTCAGACTTCAACTGAAATTTTGCAACAAGCTGTCTGGCGGTCTCCAAAATGTTGTCGTCGTTTGTTGAACAGGTCCAGCCACCCTGAGCAAAGATATTGGCTATTGTTCGTCTGCAATGGAGATTGGAAGTGGCTGAAAGACGGGAGCTGACAGAAACATGTAATTCTATTTCGGCTAATGCGTGTCCGGGGGATATGAAAACCCGAATTCGCACAGGTTCAAAACACAAGAAAATGAACGCATATAGAAGAGGCTTCAATTAATACTACTAGAGCTGTTGTGGAAGGATTTCACTGGAAACTCAAGTTTTGCTGAAAGTTTTTCCCGATGGGTTTGAAAGGTGGCCATCGCAATGCTGAAGAAGACTTGTACAAGTCATAAAAAATACGGAATTAATGGAAAGGGGATGAGTGAACATAACTTTACTCCGCAATAGTGGCTCGAGTCTCATGCATTGCAGCTGGGCATGTACGGTAAATAAGCAAATTATTGTAGGTAATAGAACCCCCAGTTTAGGGGTCATCTCAATGGAAGCAGATGCCTTCCTTCGCTGCAATTTCGATATACCAACTGGGGAACGAATTTTGTTTTAATGATTGCCCGGCAATAATCAGTAGTAAGACTTTCCACAGTTCCATTTTTCAAAACGCGTGGAGGCGAGAAACAAAATAAAGTCAGCGGTGCGATCTTTGGTGAAAATAACTGCCAGTGTTTGGCAAGTTTACGAACCCGTACAATGCGTTGGATCTTGTAATGGATGAAACTGCTGGCACAAGTGCACAAAACATAATTTTCTTGTGCAATAGATTTGACCGCAGATGTACACTCGTAGTATCCGTAAAATTAATAACAGTTGAACTCAATAAAATGGAGAGATTCGGCAGTAATTGGGACATGATTAGTGAAACTTGTCATTCAGGGCAACTTGAGAGATCAATATATAGGAAGCCACGCTATTAATAGTGTGTTAATATCTCCTTTTCCACGACGGCATACTTAGCAGTGACAAATAGACCTTTACTAAAGTCGCAATTTGACAACGTTTCTAAAAATTGATCATTACCAACAAAGCAGAATAGGCTTATTTATTTGCAAAACCACACGTCGTCCACTCGAATGAAGAGAGTAATTTTTCAAAATTATTGACATCTTGCCAGCATGTCCTAAGAACTGTGTCAAACTGAGATGGATGGGACCTTGGCCCAGCCCAAACGGTCGTTCGCCGCCTATACTTAACACAAATGGTTACTAATGCCGCGCATGGATGGGTGTGGACGAAATCGAACGCCGGGGCCAACGGCTTGGACTTCAACGGACGGCCCAGTCCATCCCAATCTTCGGAATACAAAAATCAAGAAGAAAATTAATCATGCTGCACGATTTACCATACTTGACAGCCCAAGCAATGACTAAAAGTGCAGAAACGCGTGTTTCGCCGGTATTCTGCTGCAGTATGGCACAGCTGCGAGGTGTCCGGTTCATCAGTGGGTCCCCCGGCGTTCCTCGTATGCTTCCTGATGAACACTCCAGTAATTTACCTGTACTACTGACCCTATAGGGGGCTCTACGCAGGGAACGTACCAACACTATCTATGGTGCAGGAACTTGCAGTATTAACAGTCAGATGTACTAAAAATAAAATATTGGCGACCACTCGGAGTTGGCTGTGGTCCCATCCATCCCAGTCTGGCCCAAGACCCCAGGACGGGGATACGTGCCAGCAAGGCATAAATGGATCTTAGCAAAAGTCAGCAATATGTGAGTATGAGTTAGTTTGGCAGTGAAGTCTGTTCAGTACCACATACCAAGCATTCATAATACTATGGAAGGATAATTAGGATAGTGGGAATAAGGTAGTAGAAGCATGTCCTTAAAATATATAATTTTGCTGTAATTATTGAAGTTTAGTTTTAGAAAGGCGTATTTTTCCAATTTCAGCGACAGCACATAATTGTACTAAGGTCATCAGTAAAAAGTTGCAATTTCATGGCAGACATTAATTTAAGTATACTGACACACAATCGCCTTGGCGTACTCGTCTGCCACCTTTGCTTACCGCAATCCATGACCAGCTTAAGAACTTTGAGAGGCTCCAGCGAAACTCAACTGACAATAATACAGGATAGTCTTTGACCTAATAATATACAGTTAGTCAGTTGCTGTAAAATAACAAAAGGACGCATCTCCATGACATCATTAGGTCAACCGATACTCCCGTGTCCTCATGGTTTTCAATTATTCTCGGTGAACAGCTAGTTTCAGAGAGATTTGAGGTATTGCAGAGATTTTAAGAAAGCGAAACCCGCAAAGTAAGCTCCCGACAGATTAGAACATAGTGCAAATCCTAAATGTGGCCGTGGATATGAAGTCAAAACACGAGCAACAAGATGGAACCTGCCAATAGAAGCGAAGAGACGAGTCCAAGGAAGTAGTCTTGAGGGATACACGATCGCTGGGACAAGAGCTTTATTAGCCTGACGTTTCAGATTCCTGCTCGAACCCGTCGAACAAAATTGCTGAGCTACAATGCCTCCGACGGGTCTTCAAAGCCAATGGCTACCCGCGCAACTTCATCAACCGGTGCATACGCAAAGGGGACGAAAGGCCTAACCGCACGGACAACAAATGTTGGCGAGCGCTTTCGTATGTCAAGAACGTCTCGGAAGCTCTCGGACGCCTTCTCGCACCACTTGGGGTTGGAGTTGCACACAGACCGGAGGCAACCATCAGGCGTCAGGTAATGAAACCGAAAGACCCACTGCAACGGCTTGAAACGTCTGGAGTCGTTTATAGGATCTGGTGCAGTTGCGGACAAATCAACTACGTCGGAGAAACTGGGAGACAGCTCCGAATGAGAATGGCCGAACACGCTGCAGCGGTACGGAGAAATGACGCCAGCTCTCAAGTTGCGGCTCATTCGACGAGATCCGGCCACACATTTAAATTCGACGAGGTCGAAATTCTCGCAGGAGGGGACAACCGCGTGAGCCGGGAGCTACTTTAATCACGGTCTACTGGCCCCAGTCTATTAACAAGTGAAATGACCTTCCCCTTCCATACTCGATGCTGAGACTTCGCCTAGGCGGAGTAATTAGCCACGCGGGGAGCGCATAAGTGAACACTTTTCCCAACTCCAGTGTCGGTGTGTCAGATGGTCGAGCAATCATCATACTAACATCCAACGCACGTGATGAAATTGCAGCAATTAACGACGCGAAAGTCGGCCATCAAACAATTAGCACACCAAGTGCGACGATCTCGGATGAAGGGGGGAGCCGTGAATGTTCATAGGCATGCGGTAGCGTGGCGACTGCATCCTATAAATACTGCAGCCCCTTGTGCATGAACCACACGTATCTACCTTTGTCTCTGATGATGGGTTCGAGCAGGAATCCGAAACGTCAGGCTAATAAATCTCTTGTCCCAGAGATCGTGTCTCCTTCTTCAAGATGGAAACTGTCCGCTGTTTCATCTTTAATAAGGATCTAAGAAGTATTCGCCGGACCGAATTAGGCCTCGGATCCCTTCTGCACCGTTGACCTCGACACCAGCAACAAAACCCAGGACCACGTAACGGGTTGGAGGTCAGTTCGCATAGCGGTACCGGCAGGCACACTCAATCTGGATTCACTTGCGATGCAGAAAGAGGTAAGCCATGGGAATGAGTACCCCTCCCCGTATTGCTGATGACCTTAGGCTAAATTTAACGGTGTGTTTACTCGTGGCCTTAATCTTAACAGAGACCCCAGTCCTTGAATTTAGTTCGAGATCACGAGTAATACGGGGGGTACTTACAGTCAATGACCAATCTCATGAAATCTTGACTGAAATTCCGAAATTTGTTTTCTCTTAGGAAGAAGTACTTAACCAGGGTTGTCATATGGATTATATTGTTGCACAATCCCATGATACTTCAGTCACTCCGGGATACCGGTTTCTGAATACACATCTTCTAGTCGGTCTGCAAAAATCGCATTCCGCAAAAAATGACCACTTGCTAGCATGCATTTTTCCATAAACTTTTAATTCACACATAAGTCCCAGTTTATCCTGTAAAAAACATGCACGGAGATGTGCTTTCTTTTGCACATTTGGTAACATAAAATTTCCCCAACTTTATATTCGAATAATTGGTATCTTTCGATTTTCAAAAATATGCAATTATGAGACTTTTTAATGCCATAAAATATCCATTCCAACGACGTCGTATCTGCCTTTTTATCAAAGCTGTGTTTGAAGTACACAAGACAGAACAAATCCACTTTAAAACATGTAAAATCCTATATGATAAGTCCTTACTAGCATAAAGGTGTAATTTTCCTTACGTAGAAAATAAAAGGCTTTCATAATCTAAATCCCAAACAAAAGTTTAACAGCAAATCTGTCTCAAAATCATTCAGGAATTTAAAAACCTTTTTGTTAAAATCCAAACATATCCCTTCATCGGGTATAAAATTAGAACAGGACGTTTTTTGTTATCAAACGAGTAAAGGAGAGCATAGTTAGTGCATTTTTCTCTAAAATGTATTTGAATTTAATAAGACATTGGAAGCCGGTGGAAGAATCATACTGCTCATGTGGCCATTTTTTGCTGACTGCGATTCTTCCAGGCGAATGAAAAGAAGTACATTTAAATGTCGCAATCCTGACGTTACTGAACCCTCTTGAGGCTTTGCTTCACGATGGTCATTATTATAAGCCCACTTATGCAATCCTTTCTAATAGAAAACGCATTCCAAACTTCTAGCTAACATTTCGTGAGAACATACTTTCATTCAGAACATACATTTTCCCTCATAGACAGGCTGGTCTGCTACATCGTATGCAGTTCCAAGCAGACGTGATCGTCGAAGTGAGTCTATGACTCAAAAAGACAGCCCTACGGAGCCCTTTCAGAGTTTGTACGGTTTCGGGGTTCACGAGCTGTTGTTCATGAGCGGAGGTGCGGTGATCACTACCTAATGAACGCATTTTCGTCCGCCACCGACAGTTGCGGCTCGCGCCCTGACACCTGTTAATTGCTGGACAGACGACCGACCAATCAGTCGGGCTTTCGCCAAGCTCAAACGCCACTAATACTGCTTTGACACCGGCTCTTAGAAAGGGTAGTCATCGATTAAACTTTTTATCGAGTACATCATAAGTTGAAAAGTATTCTCAAGTCCGTATGGCCAAACCTGTCTCCACAGGTACTCATGCATCGAAATCCTGACGGGAGAAACCCAGGCAGGTAGGAGTTTATACAATAGCGCCGTGCATTCACTATTAGGCGACTGGGAATAGTGAATGGAGCGGTAAAGGTGGGTACTGACAACTAAGTTTGACAGTGATGTCCTCGGCATGGACAGACCTAGAGTATTCTGACAGGAAGCTCACTTGAATTTTGTATTTAACTCCATCGCGACTTTCTTTTGTCGACCATCCTCCTTGAACGCCTTCTCCTCAAGACGGATTATTTGTAGACGTGCGTCTTGGAGCTGAGATTCAAGCGTCTCCACACGGGCCTGAGTCGTTTTCTCTCGTGATTGTGCAATCTCCAAAGCCTGCAAGTAGACCACAGTTATGCTATTAATTCAATGTCGCACTGGTCCCACAAATGATCGGGCACTCAACTGGAGGCTGAATAAAGGCTCAGCGTACTCCTGATGGAAACCTCAAGAGTCAACACCCTAATTCACAGTTGGTCACAAACTTTGGACGAATTCAAAACGCTGTAATTTCCGCCTGGGTTAGGCACGGTGGTAAGAACCCCCGCACTAAAGGCGTCTTGAGTTAGCTATATCCCTAACCGAACTCCAACCCTCATGACCCTGGCACTAACCCTCCTAACCCCACTCCCTGGAATTTAGCTCAAGAACATCTGTAATAGGGGGGGGGGTCCATATTCCCGCGCCCTACTGAAGCAACATCAAGAGGCAGGAGCAAAGTTAATTAGTTTGCAGTTTAAAGGCCAGCCCACTCCACTTTACCACTGCAGTCACAGAAATTCCATGAGGAAAGTGTCAGGGATGTTGGTGGTGTGAAGGCGATTTGCCGCATGGGATTAGACACCAGGCTAATGATGCTGGTACAGGTGTCTTGGTGACTGTCTTTTAGACACCGAACAAACGATGCTCAAAAGTTTCCTTTAACTCGCGTCTGCCATCTGCGAAAACGAGAACATCCATGTGTTGATGTTGGGTAGTGTGTTCGGTGGAATAAAAATTCGAAGCAAACCATGAACGGAGACCGCATCAATTCACACCGCAATGGTAGTTTGTCCTGCCACTGCAATCTCTTATTAATTAAGTTCCAGGTGCAGGTTCGGGAAGGACATATAAGGCATTTTTTCATTAATGAAGGCGAAATTTCGAGTTCCAGGTATATGCATAAGTTAAGAAGAAGAGTCGAGCACCGGAACACTGTGTTTATTTTCCTGAGCTTTCAGACTCGTACAGGAGTCCATCGTCAGAGGTAGTAGCAGAAGAAGCAGCAGCAGAACAAGCCACAATTATAAGGCATGTAGGCCAATCATCGACCGACGGCGCAATACTGGAGGTGACTACGCAGGGCTCTGTATGCCGGCGCTAGATCGATAAATCAACTGACCGAGTTCCCATCCGAGGCCCAGGCTTCAATCAATTCTCGGTCTTGTTTCCGGCGTGGGTGACTATTGTGGTGGTTGCGACGTTAAACTCGTGACCCATTTCGTAGGTGTGAGCGACCACTTGTGATAATGCGTCGCCTCGTCGCACAGCCAGCTTATGTTCGTGTATGCGCGATCTGAGCAGGCACCCAGTCTGTCTTGTGTAGTTGCAAGGACAATTTTGACACGGAATGCGATACACTACTCCAGATTGTTAATTAGGCTTTAACCGGTCTTTGATTTTCATGACCCTATTGCGCATGGTGGCTTTGGGGTGGTGCGCAATTCCAACACCTAACTCCGCAGCAATGCACTCGGTCGCTTCTGAAACGCCCTTGATGTATGGCAGAGAATGCCATATCGTCGGTGACGCTGATGTTCGAGTTCTCTGGTGGCGACGCGGCGACGCATTATCACAATGGGCCGCTCACACCTTCGAAATGGGTCACGAGTTTAGCGTCGCAGCCACCAAAATAGTCGCCCACGCCGGAGACAAAACTGAGAATTGATTGAAGCCTGAGTCTCGGATGGGAACTCGGTCAATCGATTTATCGCTCTGGCGCCGGCGTACAGAGCCCTGCGTAGTCACCTCCAGTATTGCGCCGTCGGTCGATGATTGGCCTACATGCCTTATAATTGTGACTTGTTCTGCTAATGCTGCTGCTGCTGCCGTTGCTGCTGCTGCTGCTGTTGCTTTTGCTGCTGCTGCTGCTGCTGCTGCTGCTGCTGCTGCTGCTGCTGCTGCTGCTGCTGCTGCTGCTGCTGCTGCTGCTGCTGCTGCTACCTCTGACGACGGACTCCTGTACGAGTCTGAAAGCTCAGGACGATAAACACAGTATTCCGGTTTTCGACTCTTTTTCTTCACTTATTTGTTCAGTTTTCAAACTTGTTACATTACACTGGAGTCCGGCATCAGATGTGGCAGTAGGAACAAAACAAATGGCAACTAGAGAGCACTTTAATCATTCGGTGGTCAGTGATGCAGACCCGGCGTCAACTGGGTAAGTCTCCGCAATACGGATGAGAGGCCAATACGACGGCCGGCGGAGTCTTTACTAGGGGTTCAGGATCCAGCCAACTACCGGTCTGCCTTGCTTCCAACAAAAGTACTTATCTTGACAACTACAAAATGAAATCCTGACCCGGTTTGAGGGTGCGGACAGCATCGTTTAATTGTGTTCGCAAGTGTGCGATCTGGATAACTGCAAGAACAGTTCATTTACCGGCTACGGTAGACGGCGCTAAATCTGCGACCGATCTCCTGTCGGTTTAAGGCAGACAACTCGTGGAGAGGGAGAACCAAGCAACAGTTGTTCAATGAAACACAAAATGGGTTACAGGAGTGCAGAGTTGATATAACCTCTTAGATTTCATAGTCGTCCTTCGGTGGGACACGTATAAATCGGTGCGGGTTATTCTCACAGAGCCTCAAATGCATTTAAGCAATCCTGAAAATCACCCACTGTAAAGACCGATATCCCTTTGACTGATTAAAGTAGAATGACTGCCAAAAAGCATTTATACTCAGGTGCCTACGTGTCCGTCCCCGAATGATCATAGTAGAAACGCCCTCGACGATGTAGCATGTTCTGCAGTATTTTTGGGGAATTCTTGATGCGAACGAGGACATTTACACAAGAACCGATTGCATACTGACAATAAACCACCATATACAGACAGTTATGGGGCCAGTAACAGATAAGAACTCGGCCACTAATCAGGTATTGCCTGCCCTTGCGTGTGACTGAACTCAGGTCGAACGAGGATCCCGCGCATGCAAGAGCAAGTTGACTGGGCGCTGGCGTGACGAATTTGTAGGAATGACTTTTCAAGCCATTGAAATGGGTCTGGAATCCTAGCTGGAGGCCACCGAAATAATTACAGGAGGTGGGAGATAGTTCTAGGCTTGGTGCAAATTCAGTCTTGCGACCGTAAACAGAATTCCTCGCAGTCGCTTCGTGATCTTTAGCACTGACCACTGGCTGCTCAAAGTGCCTTAAAACTGCCGTGTGTGTTGTTGCTGGCGTCCTATCTGATGATGATCCCCCGTAAAAGTTCAAATTCCGAGGTCTTCAAACAACACGCACCTTTAGCCAATTTGATTTGATTTGCTTGTGAAGTCTAGCTTTTATTTGAGTAAACATGATAGCATTATTAAAAGTGGACTGTATTGTTGTGCTTTTCGTGTTCTGCCTTGACCATCCCTTTTCTTTTGGTACCTTGGGTTTTTATTCAAACCCAGCTTTACCACCTCTATTTAAGTGGTATGTCTGATACCTGACAACATTCATCAACCTTGGCCGATTCCTGTAAGGATCCCTATTGGTCAGTTCAGGAGAAGATTCTGTAAGCATAGGCAAGCTTTCAATATGTTCTTATCAATTTAGCAAAATTATAAAACAAAAAGGTATCTAAGCCGATACGTACATACGAGATCACGCGGTCGTTGTTTAGAGTTTGTCGGCTAGCGATATAGCATAGAGGGAGGAATTGAGGGTAGCTCTAACTCGGCAGCACGGTGGTGCTGGGATAATTAACCATGTGATTCAACCTTTGCATAGGCGATTATCCTTATAGGTTAGGCATTGTTGCAAATACCATGTCCGCAGAAAAGTGAATTTTACGCACAGAACCGGCCTGCATAAGCAAGCTCCATGCTCCTGATCGCGGTTAACTGGGAATGAGCCCGGTATTTTAGACAGTGAGATCTTTTGATATAAATGTCCAGTTACCTGATCTCGTAAGCGCCATAATACCGCTAGGCCGTGAAACATCCGTTCGCGCATACATTTTGTTTTATAAGATTCTGTCCAGTTCTCAGCTGTAGAATCCGCTGTTCATTTAGTAAAGTAATTTAGGTAAATGCTATCAATATATAGACCAATAGTAAATTCACAAGTGGTGCAGACTAAGGCACGGGCTAGGTGGACAAGCATCTTTAAAAGGGCAGTTACCATGGTGACGTGTCATATATCGCATTGCCCGCACCAGCACGCGTATCGGACTGTGATGTTAACCTGGCAACGGAATCAACCTACATTCAGCGACATAACGATTGTATTTTTAATCTTTGGAACAACATGAACGGGGGGTAGTGGAAGACAAATGCTCAGAACAGTCAAAGGTATCTCTGAAATGCTCTTGAATAGTCAAACTCGGACTTAGGCGATAATTCAATGGGACTTGGTACTTGCCTTTCAGACAGCATATTGCTGGTAGCTTTAACCAAAATGCTATGTCGTGTAGACGCGTTTTCTAGATATTCAGAGATGTGTGCACTGAGACCTGGTAGTATCTAAGAGCACTAGCGATGCTTAAACTCGTCATGATCGCTCCTCATCAGTCACCGAGATGTGGTGGGAGGATAAGTTTGCAAATCCGCTCAGTGCATGAGATCGAACATTGCGTAATCTCTAAACGCGAAAAAGTGGAGTGACTTATCCTTACTGAACTTTTCTAGAGGTAGGTAAACAATTTTCCACACAATGTCTTTCGCATGCAGTCCACTTAGAAGCTGAGAACTCTAGTAATCAAAGCAGTCTTCACAATCCCATCTATCTGCAATTCCAATTACCTCTTGGCAGCCAGAAGGCGTTTATCATGAGTATTAAGTATGCAACCACTATTTTTGACGCATGGAAATAGACATGGATTTCAAGAGAAGAGTTTGAGCAAGTACGACAGTATCAAAAATATATTTATTCCAAAAGTAATGATGAAGCTGTCTTGAGGTGCATTGTTAGGATGCAGGATGAACCTGCGGTGATTCTTCATGCATGTTAGCCTTCTGGCCTGATTTTCAAAAAACCTCATAGGCACTCATAAGCATGCCACTGAGCCGCGACTTAGGTTAGCTCGGGCAAACGAAATTAGTTTTTCGGTTTCTGTGGAAGTTAGTGCGAGACTGGACGAATTTTAAAACTCATATTTTAGTGCGCCTTAAAACGAAAAATAATATGGCGAATCGCGAATTCACATAGGGCCATCTGTTCAAATCGTAATCGAGAAAGATCTCCATTTATCTACCATGTCTTTTTCTGCTGACTTTTTGTGTTTTTGTAAGCTAAGTTATGGTTTACAGAATATAAAATGAGGAAAAAACATTTTATGGGAATTCTTTTGTTTTAAAACTGGTGCCTGAAGATAGGGACTACACTCGCGTCACCGGAGTTTGCCCCACCAAAAAAGGCCGAGATCTTCTTGAAGCTATGCACTCCGATGAATCATGCATCAATCGGCACATTGACTTAGATGCCATGTACGGAAATCTCAGGTAAAAGTGTAAGAGACGAGAGCCAATCAACGCAGAGTGAAGTGTGTACACTGCAGTCACTTACTAGCGCAAACACCAAATGAATACTGCTTTTTCAGCCCGTTTGAGATTTTAAATGTTTTTGCACATTTACTCAAGTCTGATGATGACCTGTGGAATAAGCGTCGAAAACTTGCCTTGCAAATCTCTCTGTTTTTTCCAAAAGGACGTTTTTAACTTCAAATCATATTTCATGGAATGCCTGCCTTCCAATATATATACATCAATGCTCACGTCCAAATATGTTCCTTGTAAAAAGTAGGAAACTTTGTTGTGCAGATTTTTGACTTTTGTTCCTTTGATCGTCGTCCGCCGTTCAGTAAATAAAGAAAAACCGTTAATATTTAGTAAACACCTGAGGCCAACCTGGGAATAACCACCGAAAATATACCGAATAAGGTCTCCTACTTTTCACAAAGAACGTGTTCAACTTCAATTTATGGTTCATGCGATTCGTGAATTTCAAAATATACCATAATCATGCATATATATTCAATCAGGGATTGGCGCACACGGAGTTATTGGCTTCCCAAAGTAAACAAGGTGCGTATGGGTGGCAAAGGTCACGAACAGGCAACCAGCTAGGAGGGACTGCAGAAAATGACAGGTGGCGAGGAACTGATGAACTTAGGTTCGATGAAGTGGTGAACCAACTCCGCCAGGTGTGTCTGTGCGCATGTTTGTGTTTCTGGCCACAGCTGCTGGTCAGAGTTATTGTTGGCTGAATGAAAGCCCAATAAGCCCGAAACAGTGCTGTAATAATCTGCCTGCATAATCTGTCTTCCATCCTCACTGCTATATATATGAATTGGAAAACGGGCATCCCAAGAAGTAAATGAAAATGAAGAAAATAAAGAAAATGAGTTTCTTGAAAAAGATGACAAAGTTCATTTCATAAATTTTCGACTTTAGTTCCTCAGGCCGCCCGCAAACGTGAAGCAAGTGTGCCAATCAGTTAAAATTTAAACATGCTTAGAAATTGATATTGCTCTGTCACTCCTGCTAGTTAGCCTTTTCTGTAGGTTGGCATCATGTTTTGATTGGCTATCGCTCTTCCATTTTCATTGAGATTTTTGAACACGGCACCTATTTCGATGGACCAATTGATGCACGAGTTGTCGGAATGCATGACCTCCGAAAATTGTCGACCTTTCTTGGATGAGCAGACACCTATAATGCGAGTTTTGTCACAAACAAATTTAGGTCCAGCTTTCAGCGCATGCAGGCAACTTGAGACAAGTGGTCTCGTCTTTTTACTGCCAACGGATGTTCGTGTATGCGTGTAGCGGCACATTTTCCCGTTTGACCACAGTAAACTGCATTACAGTTGTCGCATAGTATCTTAAAAACGAAGTCGTTCTTTTTCAAATACTCAATCCTATCCTTGGGATGCACAAGTCGGTTGTGAAGTGTAGTCCTTGGTTTGTGTGTCACCTGCATTTGGTGCTTGCCCCGGTGTCTTTCAACCAGTTCGGACACATTCTTAATATACAGAAGCGTTCGCCTGTTTCTTGGCTTTTGCGCTTGATCGGATCAGTCTAGTTCCTTGTCTTTGTCTTTCCACTTCTTGCGTCTCATTCATCGATGTATATTATCTCTAGGATACCCATTCTGGAAAACAGTTTGAGCAAATATTTCAAGTCCGTTCGGTAAGTTTTGTTGTCAGTAGTAAGTTTTTTGCTCGATGCCGTGTACAACAATGTTAACGAAAAGTGGAAGAGGCGATGGCCAATCAAAACGGGATGCCAGCCTACAGTAAAGGCCGACTAGCAGGAATGAAAGAGCAATATCAATTTCTAAGCATGTTTAAATTTTAACTGTTGGGCACACTTGCTTCACGTTTGAGGGCGGCCTGAAGAACAAGAGTCGAAAATTTATGAAACAAACTTTGTTATCTTTTCCAAGAAACTCAATTTCTTCAAAAAACATACAAATAATGGAAGAAGAGCGCATAATCATCGTGGTACGGTACTTAGACGTTGTGCTTTGGGGCTCTCTCTCGAGCCCAACCAGCAGCCGCAGAGCGGCTCGTAATGCATTTGTGCACAAACTCGACAATTCGTGAGTTCAAATTTTTCGGAGGAGCATTCTCCCTTCGTCATATCATCTCGGAATGAACATTACCTCAGTTATATATGTCATTCGGAATATATATATTGAGTAAAGGATGTACTGTGCATTCCAAGATAATATAATAAAAAAGAGAAGGTTCTTCGTAAAATCTAGTTGTACTCGTAAGTTTTCAAGTCGGTGACACCGACCCGTCGTCAGACGAAATGAACATAGGGGAAAGTGAAAATCGGCAGACTAGGTCGGCTGGCGCGACAGGACAGACAACGACAAACAGACAGCTGATGCGTGAGAGGGGGGTGGGCACCGAGTTATGGTAGGCTGTGGGGCAGGGGGGAGGGAAGAGAGAACCATTAGGGCTCCCTGTGTTGGAGGTGGAGAACACGCGGGGGGATTGCGAATCAGTGGGAATGCGGGCGGCTGGTCACTGATGCGGGATGAGGTCAGGGGACAATGCGCCGGCGTTGGAGGTGTTAGGGACGTTTCGGTTGTTGTTCACCGTGTCGCAAGGGGGGGGGGCGGAATGGCGGAACAGCATACGTCTATGTGGCCGAGTGGGGGTTAGCAGTTGTTGAGGTGTGGGAACAAGACAGTGAGCGTATACGTAAGCCCTCGTCGTGAGCGTCTAGATCGACGTGGCGGCTGATGCTGGTCGTGCCAGAATGTAAAGAACTGTCGCAGACGCCAGAGACAACCACCAACCCCGAGTCTAATGGAGATAGAGTGTCGCGGAAATTCTATTCACTGCCGTAAATTCAGGGAATTTCTGAAACACTCTCTCGACAAGTAAAACACTTTGGCATCTCCCTACGCGAGGCATTATGCCGAGTAAAGGACCCGGTTCCCAAAGAAGAAATAACTAACGTCATCTACCGTATCGCATGCGCCAAGTGCCCTTGTGTTTTTATTGGCCACACAGGCCGATGTCTTGGGACTCGCATTAACGAGCACAAGTTAGCCCTCTGCCGACGTGACCCTCTGTTTCTCGTGTTTGCGTATGCCCTTGAGCGTGACCACCACTTCAATTGGGACGGTACTGAAGTGATTTCAAGGGCTAACACCAGACAGGCTCGAGAATTCCTCGAAGCTTGGCATTCTGGCACGACCAGCATCAGCCGCCACGTCGATCTAGACGCTCACTACGAGGGCTTACGTATACGCTCACTGTCTTGTTCCCACACCTCAACAACTGCTAACCCCCACTCGGCCACATAGACGTATGCTGTTCCGCCATTCCGCCCCCCCCCCCCTTGCGACACGGTGAACAACAACCGAAACGTCCCTAACACCTCCAACGCCGGCGCATTGTCCCCTGACCTCATCCCGCATCAGTGACCAGCCGCCCGCATTCCCACTGATTCGCAATCCCCCCGCGCGTTCTCCACCTCCAACACAGGGAGCCCTAATGGTTCTCTCTTCCCTCCCCCCTGCCCCACAGCCTACCATAACTCGGTGCCCACCCCCCTCTCACGCATCAGCTGTCTGTTTGTCGTTGTCTGTCCTTATTGCGTAAATTTTCGAGACTGGTTCCTCAGCTCGTCGTCATATTTCTGGGTTATGTACAAAAACAGTCAACTATGAAGCCGTGTCGAACAAGTGATTTTGTAGTTGACTGAAGCCTTCGCCAATGCGCGTCAGTCTTATTTCGCCTTTCCCTCGGCTCGATTCCCAGGTGTTATATACCTCCGGGTTGGTCATGGCTGGCTGACGATGGCTGATAGGTCAGAAACAACCATTCCAATCTCCCCTGTCGTTGTCCATAATGCCATTCTGCCTGCATTATACGCCGCTGTGCGCCTGCTGGTTGTACCCGAGAAAACGTTCTAAGGCATAACGGAGGGATTAAGTGCTATAACACGATGGGTGAGCACACCTCTATCATTATATATACATATGTTGCAAAGAAGATGAACGCGCGATCATTGGGACAGTGCAGGAATTACTCGAAGCTCTCGGTCTTGTACAGAAGGCCATCCTCAGAGACAGTGAGAATGCGGCATCAAATGATCAGTTTTGTAGTCCAGCCACGAAGGGGGATTCTGTTCTTCCCTTATGAACTGAATGTCGAGGAAGATGCCGATAAGAAGGTCTTGAAAGTCTGCTAGTCTACTCCTTTCAATTATAACGAACTTGTCATCTAAGTACCGGTGCCAAAACGCAAGTTCTTATTGGTCGAACTAGCCTTACAAGGGCTGAAGAAAGTCGCCTTCGAATTCAACTTCGCGAACACGTGGGTAATGGCGAGAGCCAGCAATAAGAGGGAGCGAGAACTGCTGGAGGCCCGGGTGTCTGCCACCAACCACATCAACAGACACGTTGATATACCACCCTGCTATCATGCGCTCCCCCCCCGCGGCAAAGAGGCAAGACCCAATTCCCAGCCGAGGATACACGCAATTACACCGTCGTAAGACGGCATGGACGCAGTCTTATCGCGAACACCACCCCCTGCACTCATATTCCACCTTCTTTGTTTGACTACAAAACTGCTCCTTTGACGCCGCATTCTCACTGTCTCTGAGGATGGCCTTCTGTATAAGAGCAAGAACCCGGACTAATGCCCGTACTGTCCCAGTGATCGCGCGTTCACCTTCTTTGCAACATGAACCGAGGACTCGCATATTCGTTTTCATATATATGTGGCAGTGCAGCTTTGGAGGTGGTTATGAACACGTAACTTTGCCCTCTCATCAAACGTGACTTATACGACTATTTGGAAATCCAGGTGGCTTTAATGATGGACAATTCTACATGGTTTATAACAAAATCCTGTGTAGTGGGCATCAACTGGTTATAACACCGCTCAGATTTAATCACTTCTGAAGGAAGGAGGCAAAGGTTAGGACAAATACAAAGGCATTACCACGATGGCATTTTCTGCCTCCCGGTCGGCCTCTTTAAACTGTTGGAGCTCCTCTGTGAGGCGGTTTGTTGTCCTCCGTAGTTCGGCGACCTGTTTGTCCCTAGCCGCCAGGAGATCCTTTAGCTCATCCAATTGGGCCGCGCTTTCCCGCGATTGGGAAACAATAGTTGACAGCTAATTAAGCATGCATAAAAGCACACATTACGATAATAATAACTGCAAATTTACACAGTAGCTTGATATCTTGTGGCCCGTGGTTTACCAATATCTGTAGTCATAAGAAAGGTCTGGGGCACAGACAAAGAGTGACCTAAAGTGAGCTTCAATGCACACGTTTGTCTGATATCCACGAACATAAAAAGGATCAATGACCGAAAGTTTGACCTTGTTTTTCTTTAAGTGACTATTACCTGGATTTGCATTTGGTGATTGTTAATTTTGAGCACGAAAGAGATTATTCCACTGAGATACAGTCGTAGTTAAGAAGTTGACAAACATAAAACTCTGGCAAATAATTCATACCTTGTTATGAGTAAGATAACGGGATCTGCAGATAGTTGATTGCAGTGCTGATATTTGACTGCAAATCTTGACACTTCGATGCTTGTTCACCGCTTCATGTTCCCCTTGCCATTTGCGATGCCTCATCGCTTCTACCACAGCTGTGTTAATGGCCTTTAGTCTTGTTTAGCTGTTGCTCCAATACCTGGTCAACTCAGTCTCTCCCGGCCTGATCTTAAAATCCGTCTAAGAATAGCGATTCTCAATATTCGACAAACAGGGCTTGCTGACCTGTGTACACTGCACTGAACACATTATCGAACAAAGTAGGGTTTCTTGAACGCAACTTGGGACATCAGCGTAGGTCTGAATTAATGCTATGCGTTAAGACAATGGAGCGCTCAAAATGTTCATTAAGCAGAAATGAAGCCAAAATTACCATCTTTAACGATAAGTAAGTAAATTAAAAGGATTATTTTGGGGTAACGATCTATAACAAGTATGTCAGCATTATACGTAAAAATCTACCTCTCCTCCAAATTGTTCTGATCATAATTAGAAAAATTCGCGTTTGCAACAGAAAAGATTTATGAGCATTATTTACCTGTAAAATGCAAATTTATTGCGCATGCTTAAAAGTTCCTTCTTAGTTGGAACTCAACAACAATGACTGAGCTTGGACGTTCCTAGTAACTTTGTATTATGAATTGTCAAAAAGGCAGTGTATATGGCATAGAGGAACGTGCATTTAGATAGTTGTGGGAGGGTTACCGTGTGGTTTTTTAATGAAACTCCAAACTCTAAGGCCATTTAAGGGCTTTCATGCAGAGGAAAACCTTTATTTGAATTAACGGTCACGGAGCGTGCTAAACGCATGATTTGTCTCAAGAGACCGGCCAGCTACTAAATTTCAACTCTTAAATATTTCATACGTTATTGGAGCTTTCTAAAATAAATTGTCTTGGGGAAATAATTCGTTTTCAACAATTTTCTAAGATTAAATTTGGTTGTATGACATCGCCGAAGACGTTGTATGGATTAGAGCAGGAGAAGAATATAAATTTTGGTCTTATATGAAAACATGTTAAAATATCTGTCCCATTGTTTCTCTCTGAATGCAGCAACGAAATAAACTTATAAAAATGCTTTATACGCGTAAGTTGACATCGTTGGTTTACCTTAACTTTCAATTCCTCGATATCATCACATGAAAACCTCACGGAGTCGGCAAAGGCAACCTTACGTGTTGAGTATACTAGGCCGTACATCCATTCAGCGATGCTCTGTATGCCTTCCTCGCATGTTTTTAACGTCGACAATGCCTCCTCCTTCTCTACGGCGAGTCGTCTTTACTCAAAAGCAAAATAACATCTAAGATAAACTTAAAAAAGCATCTAGATCTCTTATAAGCAGATAATCCAATTCAATATAAGCAAAAGGCTATTTGTCACGGCAGCAAACACAATTGCAGGCTAAGATTCTGTACACACAACAACTGTCATGCAAAACCTAAGATATTTCAAAGGAGCTAAAATAAGTAAGTGGAGTAAACGCACAGTGGATAAATGCGTTTTTCACAGGTATATCAGATAGATGAGCAAATTACAAGTCAGCTGCAGTCGAATGTGCCAGAGTTTATTTTTCTCATTGATTTTGTTTCTCTAAGGCAAACTCTATATTCTATCGAGTAAAATTCGGAACATCATGCAAAATGAAGAGGTTTTATAGCAAAAAACTAGTATCTGAAAAAATATAATAAAAAATCGGGTTAAAATAAACTACCAATAAAACATGAGAGCTCACTCTATTCGTGTTTTTTGACATTCTACTTGTTTATGCGTAGCCTGTAACTCGTCGGTAAGTTGGCCAATCCTCGTCTTGAAATTTCGAGCCTCATTTTCGGCTGTCAAAAACAGTGACTGCTTTTCTTCGAGAAGTTTGGACTTTGTTTCATCCTGCTTCCTTACGACTTCCAATTGTTCGGCGATACGCGTCTTCTCCTTGTTAGCGTTGTGTAGCTTAAGGCCAAGCATTTTTATTTCGTTTTCCTGATCAAGGGTCTAAAATTGAAGCTGGAATGCGGATGGAAACGAAATAAACTTTTGAGCAAAGATTGCCAACTTTGGCCTGAAGACCTGCAAGTTCATCTCTCTTTAGATGGACGGCCTCATCTGACATGGGTGTGTAGATAGTCGACGCCCCTTTTCTTTGAGACCTCTTGAGAGACTTTACGTCCATGCTGTGGCACCAACTGATGTTTGTGATAAAATAAACTTGCCTCGTGAGTTCCAAAATTAGTTTTTCCTTGTCTTCTAAGTCTCTTTTGCATGCCTTCAGCTCCTCTTCTAACTGAGAAAAAAAAGAATGAGAAAAAGAGGGTAACGGAGCCGGTCAGCTAATGCATGTATGAACATCAAAGATTCAAATGGAAACTCAGAAACGGAAACATAAGTCATTTGTCATTATGTTCTTTGCTAGAAAGCTTGGCAATAATATTCCATTTTGAAGCTTCTTGGGTCCAAGGGAATCGGAATGGCATTCAGTTAACTTCAGATATCTCAACCAAAGTTCAGTCCAGGATGCAATTTGATACCGTGACAGATATTCGAAACATAGACTAATATTTTTTCATACAGAGTAACTAATTGAGAGAACGTTTGCAAATACATACGCATGACAGTTAATTGGCGAAGGACCTGCGTTACCTTCAGGAAAACGATATTCTTATCATATAATATTTGTTCCAAAAGTAGAGCCCGCATACTTTACTCAAACCGAGATAAATTTCCTTCCAAGCACTTTCTGCGTCAAGAGGTCTAACGATGATATGTAAAGCAAGACTTCAGCTTCCTTCATACGCTATTTGGAATGACGGAGCACAATCTCGTTCATGAATAAGATTTAGAGATCTGAATTAATTCCCTAGAATTCCTTCCTTGCTGTCCTATATAGTGGGTTACACAAATAACCATTCAAATAAATTTAGCGAGTTTTATTTCGAGACACTACATTTATGAACTGAGGTTAAGAGCGTCGAGATTCGTACTGCATAAAGTTCAGAGCTTCTATTAGACATTTTTAAAAGACGCAATATTTATTTAGATGTATAGTAATGACCTTGGATTGCTTATATGCCCTAGGATTGTTTAAGTTGAACTGAAGTCAAGTTACTCTCGGCCACTTTACATAAACATGGATAAACTAAATATAAGTCAGAAGTCTTAACCATGTATGCGGGTCTGCCAGGACCGGCCTGCATGTGGTATTGCATAAGGGATTCAAAACTGACATCGTTCGTGCAGAATTTATACGCCGAATGAGACTATTCGCGTCAAAGTGGCGAGACGAAAGGGACCCAGAGGCGATCGGTCACAGTCCGCTTCGAGCCCGGTCGAGGAGTGGGGAAGGGAGGTACAACCAAACTACGAGTAGACGGCGAATACAGAGGGTTCCGTCGTGAGCGTCGACAGACCGCTTGAGGTCGAAATGAGGGAGATGAAAACAAGAACCGCGAAAATCGTCGCTATGGGGGAGGGGTAGTAACAGTGGCTTTAGTAGCTAACTTTAAAAAGGGGGGTTGTAAAGATGTAAATGGGGTTTTCCACTTGATCTACCACTGAATCCCAGGAGGACCCTCCACGAAGTCAAGAAGCTGAGTGTTCGGGAATGAGAAGGTCAAAAGTGCCTTTATATTCCTTGGTGTAATGCGTTTACTTAATGTCAACTTAAATGCCGATAACCTACGCGATGACGTTGGTGGAAGATTATTCCAAAGGATTGCATACTTGGAAGTAAATAATAGGAAACGTTTGGATGTAGAGCAAAGAGGCGACGGAATCACCAGGCAGGAGGTGCGCGTGACATAAGACCGATCTCTCGTAGTAAGAGTGTCAATGCGTGGAAAATTGAAGTTAGAGTTGATGCGAAAAAGGGGAGCAAAGGGCAGCTTCGAGTCATCTAGTCCACAAAAACTTAATGTTCGCCCACTGAGATCTCTGAGTAAAAGAGGCACCGGACGCGACTTGAGAGAAGAGTTTCCGGGTGAGAACCCTCTGAACATTTTTGATTTTGTTATGGTCACAGGCGTCCATTAAGCCCAAGGACAGCAGTACACGAGGATTGGAAGAGCAAACATTTCAAAAAGTCTTAGTTTCATCTCCAGAAGGAAAAAATTACGCGATATGAACACACATATCTGCGCGGCTTTGGCAGAGATTCTATCAGCATGAGGTGATAAAGCAAGTTTATTTGTATAATTTATGGTGAAGCATTCTGAAGGTAGGTTATTTTGAAAATTTATGGGATTAGGAAGTCTGGCATCACCAAAAAACATGGAACTACACTTGGACGACGAAAACTCCATCCGCCGTTTCGGACTCCATCTGCTTAAGCGTAGTAAGTCGGCATTAATTTTTTCAATACAAACGTTTTCTATGTCCTAAGAATATGAGCAAACATACTTGAGGTCATCGGTGTAAATAAAAATTTGCAAATTTTTGAGTTCAGTCAAAATATCATCGATGAAAAGAAGAAACAGTAGCGGACCGGGAACCGTGCCTTGAAGTACGCCACTCGTGATCTAGTGAGGTGTGGTGTAGCTGTTACAGACGATGACTTTCTGATATCGGTTGGATAGACAGGACCTGATGAAGTCAGGTAAAGGCGACCGGATGCCAAGAGCTTCCAATTTTACTAAAGGACGTCTACGAGATATCGTGTTGAAGGCTTTGCTAAGGTCAAAGTAGATAACTACCACTAACTGCTGTCCATTACGAAGAGAAATTATTAGATTACGAAAGGCCAAGTGGCAAGTTTGGCAGGATCGTTCATGTGAAAAGGCTATGCTTAATAGGGATCAGACACTGGTTAGCTAGACAGAAGTCAGGAATTTAATTGAAAATTGTTCAATTCCTGTCCCCAATGGAAGCAGAGCTTCCTTCACCCCCAACATGTTTCCTCCACGGCCTTTTGACCGATGCATTCCCCATGCTAATGTCCATGCTGGTTTAGTTAACTCATCCGTTTCTCAGTTTCACTCCGGCGGGAATACGTTACAGTATCCGGTCCGTGGAGTTCCAGCAGAAAATCAGTCAGATAACAGCAGTGATTAATTTTTCTGTCCGTTATTTCCTCCTCCAAATCCTACCACTCTTGAATCACGTCAGGGTCTTTTGGTGACACAACATTTTTGCAGAACGGGACAGGTGCATCCGGCCCGTATGTTCCGTGGGCAGCCAGCAACTGAAAGACGTAGTCAACCACTCTCAGAAACAAACAGTCTTTCCCCTTAAACTTTTTCTCCTAAATGCCAGGTCTTTGTTAAATAAGATCCCTCTACTTCAGATTCTGATGTTCGTCCATTGCTTAGATATTGTTTTAGTAACTGAGATATGGATAACAGCTCCTTTAGCCGATTCTGGACTCTTTCCTATAGGCTGTACTTTCATTCGAAATGATCGTCAAGACAGCCGTGGTGGGAGCAGTTGCATCCACGTTAAGCAAAAAATTACAGTACTGCCGCTGGAATTTCCACCTTTTCCGCGGTAGAAAGCAGCTGCTGACTCCAACTTGCTCTAAAAATAAGTTCTCCTTACGCACTGGCTGAGTCTATCGCCCCCCGACGTCGATGAGAATTTTGATCGTTTACTCTCAAAGGCATTTCATGCTGTGGCCGACCAAGCGTTAAGTATCATTTGGTTGCGGGAAACTTCAATCTTCCTGAAGTCTGCTGCTCTCCGCTGCGCATGAGAAGCATGACCAAGATCTCATGCTCATATCCGAACTGTACCAAGCTAGCGAGAAGAAAGACGTCCTTATTGTTGGGGATTTTAACGCTCCTGGCATTGATTGGCTAACGTGGACTGCACAAGGGCCGCAAGACAGCTTTAATCACAAACTACTACAATGGGCAACGGACAAACTTCTCTGCCAGAATGTTACCTTTGGAACACGGGTCAGGGAAGGGCAGCAGTCGAGCTGCCTTGATCTTATTTTTACCCGAGAGGAGGAAAACGTGTTAGACCTGCAGGAGCGACAGCCATTAGGGTCAAGCGACCACATCACGCTCTACTTCGAGTACTCACTGTTTTACTAACCCGCCCAACCCGAGAGGTGGGAGAGAAACATTTGGAAAGGTGACTATTCTCTCATGAGGAGGGAAGCGGCAGCTATATCATGGGAGACTGAACTGCATGGTCGAGCAAACGATAACTGGAATACTTTCAGTTCCTTACTGAAAGAGATTGTTTATTCCAATTGTCCTCTTAGAAGGAAGACAATCACAAACCGCCCAAAATGGATAAACCCGGACTTGAAGGCCTCTTTCAGAAAAAGGAATCGTCTGTGGAGGCGTAACAGACTAACTGGCTCCGACGAACACTTACAGGAATATAAGCGGCAACGAAACGTCTGTAAAAGTGAGGCCTCAAAGCTGCGAAAGAAGTTTGAACTAAACACACTCCGAAAATCGTTGGAGCATCCGAAAATTTTATATGGTTATATACGAAGTACTAAAAGGACTCAGGAGCTAATCCCTGCCCTCAGGTCTGCAGATGGCAAAGTGGAGATTGATGACCAGGTTAAAGCGTCCCTCCTTTCCGACTTCTTTCAGTCCGTCTTCACCCGGGAACCTAGTGCTATATTTGCCCATCCATCCATTCGCCAAACAACCTCTCCTCCCAGTACCCTTCCCCATCCTATCCCCTCCCTACCCTCCTTAACCGAGGAACCACTCTTTTCATCTACCATTGTTAGGGCCGAGCTACTCCGATTGAAACCTGCCAAATCGCCTGGCCCAGATAGAATTCCCGCCCTAGCACTTCGCGAACTTGCTAATGAACTGTGTAAACCCTTATCCGCAATATTTCAAAAGTCATTTGAAGACGGCGAGCTACCGGAAGAATGGAAGTGCGCACTGATTACTCCGATCCATAAAGGAGGCTCAAGACTTGACTGCGGAAATTATCGTCCCGTCAGTCTTACTTGCATCGCGTGTAAAATAATGGAACGCATTATCAAAAGACACTTGATGAAATACCTGGAACAGAACAAAATATTGTGCGATGCCCAACACGGCTTTCGTCCAGGGCGCTCCTGCTAAACAAGTGTTCTTTACTCACACGAGAAATGGACACGAGCTACCGATAAGGGTTTTCCAGTAGATGTCATATTTTTTGACTTCAAGAAGGCCTTTGACAGTGTCCCACACAGGCTTCTTTTACAAAAGATCTGGGATGTAGGGATTCAAGGGAGAATGTTTAAATGGATCAGGAGTTTTCTGTCCTCCAGACTACAAAGAGTCGTCGTTAGTAATTCTACCTCGGAATGGGTAAAGGTGGAAAGTGGTGTCCCACAGGGTTCTGTCTTAGGCCCAGTACTCTTCCTGATTTATGTTAATGACTGTATCAGCGAAGTCAATTGCGAGGCTGTCATGTTCGCGGATGACATAAAAATATGGAGTGAAGTCAAGTGTGATGATGACGCAGAGAAGTTGCAGTCGAACATCAACAAACTGTGTGCTTGGTCGAACAGATGGCTTTTGAAGTTTAACGTGTCCAAATGCGTGGTTTTGCACCTGAACACCGGCCGCAATGCCTCTCCCAAACACCAGTACTATATTGACGGGACGAGGTTAGAAACTGTGGAAAGACACAGAGATCTGGGTGTATGGACGACCACAAATCTATCGCCATCAGAACACTGCAGAAAGATGGTCCAGAAGGCAACTAGTACTCTACACTGGATCAGACGTGCATTTAAAATATTTCCTCCCGAACTCTTCGAAAGACTCTTTTGTGTCTTTGTAAGACCTCATCTAGAGTATGGAATGCCAGCAGCTTCAACATGGATGAAGAAGGATATCAACTTACTCGAGCAGGTGCAACGCAGAGCGACAAAGATGGTCGACGGTCTAAAGCATTTGTCTTATCAGGAGAGGCTAAATTTGCTTGGCCTATTCCCTCTCTCTTATAGACAAATAAACTACAGTCTACTCTGGACGTTCCGGATTGTTTGCGGCCAGGGTTGCTCATTAAGAGCAGAGGACTTCTTTGAGTTCGCTCGTACAAACCAACTACG